TCACATCACATAAACACCAAATCCCAGCATGCATTGCGGATAACCATCCAATCATCGAGCTGAGGATCTTGCCTACGTCGGTTTCCGGTTTCGTTTAATGACCGATGTATTTTGTTATACACACATTCCTTCACATTTACATTTTAATGTGCATTAAAGTATTTCGTGAGACCTTCTAACATGTTTTTAAATATAACTACAGTTGTAGTTGAATAGTTTGTAAATTAACATGAACCGAAGCTGTTGCTTGGCAACTCAATCGCACAACGTCACGTCCGTTAATTCCACATCCACACGCATGGATTAACATCGATTTAATACATTAATGTAGCCTTTGTTTATGCTAAAAGAGGTGTCGACCAGCTGGGGCAACAAGAAAATCGCTGTAATCGAGTGTGACTATTAAAAAATAAATCATTACGTCGGGGTAGCATTTGCTTGGTATTTCCGGTTAATCTCCACTGGTTAACATGGGTTAACAATACCGTGTAGCTGTCACGTTTGAAGGGGACGAAACCGTGACATGTTCACGTCTCCCAGCATGGTAAATCGTCACATGTTCACGTCTTGCCGTGATACCGGGTTGGTTATAAGTTATAACACACATCAAAGGATCTCGAATCTCGGTGCTGCTGACCTGGGGTCAGTGGGACATCATCTGGACAGGTTTAGGGGAAGAAGGAGAATATAAACTGTTATAATGACAGCTATTAAGATTCCTTTAAAAAACATATTGTTTTAGAAAAATTAAGACTTATTTTAAATATATTAAATAATATGATTAAATTACACATCAGCTATATATAATGTACTTGTTAACTTATACTAATGTAACATTACTGGGGGCTAAAGGAACAGCTTCATCTTATTTACCTGGCGATGGTTCTCTTTATTTAATCTCCGACGGTGATCTCCAAAAAATGTAAAAGTAAAGTTTCTGGATCCTTTTCAGCTAATTTGCTAGCAGGCTGCTGGAGCAACGCAACCGAACAGCGCGTATCACGTGACGTAAATACGAAGCGCTCCGTAGGCTAGACCGTCTCATTTCGTATAGGCCGCTCGGTCCAGCCCACGCGGTCTCGTCGGCCGCATCCTGCGTCGACCGAGTAGGGTGCGTACCCCGAAGGATACAACCCCTGAATTGAGACACGGCCGAGGAGGGGAAATTTGAGTATTAAGAAGCCTCTAAAGAGTCGTGACGCACGGCCGGATTGATCTCAGCCAATGACAGCTCTGCATGCATCCCCTGGATATTATTGTATTAACTGCTCTCATCGCAACCATGATCGCAACGCGATGTTTACAGAGAGAACAGCTGTGAGGTCCGTGCAGAAAGCAGAGCAGTGTGTAAAATATATATCACTCAGTATAACAGGCCTACATTACTCTCTGTATTTGCTGTAGTTTAGTAGATATCTACAAACAAAGAGTCGATATTTGTCTAAAACCATTTAGTGCTTCACATAATAAAATACACAACGGCTGTAGCCTGATTATATGCAGCGGACAGACAGGTCTCAGTTGGTTTGGTGTCCTCTGCTTACTTTTAATACTTGTAAATAAAACTTTTGGCCCGTAATTTATTTCCCTCATTGTAGCGACCAGAGAGGGGGGAGATATATATCCAGTCTCTGATAGTGTTACGTTATTATGAGAGCTCTGTTTGATTCTGAAATGGTATATATTTATATAAATATATATATGTGTGTGTGTGTGTGTCCGCATCTGTAGCCTGTTATTGTCTCATTATACCGCACTGTGAATGAATTACAAGTAAATATAGAAGTCGTCATGAACACATCTGTCCATCAGACAGAGGGCTGTGTGCCTCCTGACCTGTCATCATTAATGGACGTCTCTTTAAAATGACCGCTCAGAGGAGAGGAGTTCTCATTTCTCTAACCGCCTGCTGCTTCCCATCAGTATTATTCTTAGATGGGCCATTGTGCATAATGAGTACTTTTTTTTGCCCTAGGTCAGGGGTGCCCAACCTTTTTTGAACCGAGAGCTACTTTTAAAGTTGCCAGTCTGCCGAGATCTACCAGTCCAGATAGAGAGGCATAGCCATTACTGACAGCCTACTACCAGGTAAATACACACTTCTACTTGTATAAAACTGACCTTTGTACGATTAATACTTCATAAAATACTGCAGATGCTTTATCTTACCTCTTCCTAATCTACATACAAGTATTTAACTGAAGTTACACAACAATGTTGATACAGAGTTTGAGTTTATTCACACGACACGTCACATACTACAGTGGGTAATGTTTTCAAGAAACATTGAACAGTGCTGCCACATATAACACAGGGGAAAAGAAAATACTCTGAACCCTTTCTTTGCCATTAAAATTAGGCTTACTAATAAAACAACTCAGATCTGAAGCTACACAGGAATCTGCTGCCAAAGTGCAATAAAAAAGACAAAATTAATAGAATCAAACCCTTTTTTTGTTGCATTTTAGTAGATTATAAAAATAAATGCCTTTTTAAAATAGGATGCAAGCAACACTAGTTTCTTAACCTGAATTGATAATAGACTATAATCAATTTAAGTTTGCATTCTTATACAATTTTGTACAATAATTATAATGAATAAGTTCAAACAAACTAAAACTTACAGCTGATTAATAACGGTATCTAACTTGAGTTTTTATTATATCAAAAACCTGTTGAAATGCTACTGTTATTTTTACTGTCCCCCAAAAGCGCGTCGGCAGCCTCCAGGAAAGCTTCTTTCACAACTTCGCCGTCTTTGAAAGACTTCATGTGTTTCTCAAGAACGTGACTGACCCGATAAGATGCTCTGGTAGCAGCCTTGCTCTTGTTGTTGGGCCTGGTGAAAATGGACTGCTGTGCATTTAGCTGTCCTTTCAGGCCCCTCCCCTTTTGGAGCGTAGGGCAGAATTAGGAGGGAATTCCGTCTCGTCGCGTTTGTGCACTGTTTTGAAATGCCGCTCCTAAATTACCCTTCTTCGATAAAGCCACGCTCGCATTGCAGATGAGAGACAGATGGACTTTGAATTGGAATAGATACAAAAATAATCATCCTCCCACTCGGAGTGAAAATGATATATTTTGGGGTTTTTTGCTTCTGCCATAATTGCGGTCTTCTATGTGTGCGGACTGTCACTCCTGTTGACACGGACAATGTCAGCGAACTAGTGCACTGCCCACCAGCCACGCCCCCACACATGAGGTCACGCTGGCCAATCACAAAGCTTTGATGCGTTCAAGTGCATTGTTCTGGCACAGGAAGATTATGTTATAGGACGTTAACGATAAAACTGAATATTGTTGTTCTATTTTTAGACACATCTCGCGATCGACTGAGAATCTCCCCGCGATCGACCGGTCGATCGCGATCGACTGGTTGGGCACCCCTGCCCTAGGTAAAGGATCTGGGTATAGCCTACTTCTTCCAACACTTGAATGTATCATGATTGTGATACATAACATTGAATATTGCCATTTGAACATGAAGGTCTCTTGAAAAATATAACTTGCATTTGTTAGATGTAAATGCATGTCAATTGAAATCAGTTAAAAATAAGTACAAAAATACAATCCATTTCACAAATAAACCACATTTAAAATGTCCTTATACTGTGGGAGACGTTTCATTTTCACAGAGTTTTACGTACTCATCACTTTGTTCTCAATGACACGCATAGGCGGCGCGTGAGACTCAGGTTTGGGAAGGCTAAATAACTTTTTTTTTCATTTTACGCTGCCCGCCTCCGGCGTATATAGAAAAGAGATCAACTCAGTGAAAGCACCACCTGCTGACCGATCAGAGCTCAGTGTGCGGAGTTTAAATCTATCAAGTCATATTACAGGAAAAAGGAAATGCAGTTTAAACTGCCGTATGCAGAGAAGACGCCGACGTGTCGCACTTATCATTCATATCACATTGACATCACATCATCAATCAGATCATCGATCTCACATCGATATCACAATATTTCCTTATCTGAGTCAGCTTCTCGAGCCGTATCTGGCCGTGCAACACTTAGTTACATTGTCACATATACTGTATGCAGACGTATTATTTTAAGCAACACATTAAGTTGACGAAACACTCAACTCAAATGTAATAAAGTCAGATCCCCTCGTGTTTTAGATGGGGCAGTATCATAAAACTGTTGTACGCTTTCAAACACTCGGTAGTTTATTTTTTAACGAGTTGTTCTGTATTCTCCTTGCAGGTGCAACTATGTAGCTTGTATCCTGGATTATATGTTTAAGTCATCATGGATGTTTAAAGTTCATATTTGTCTAATATTAGTTTACTTTTCATTAATGAAGTTGATGTTGCGCTGTCAGTACACTTGTCCCTGTTTGTGATTGGTCAAATGTAGCTAACCCCGCCCCTTTCACGTGAACACGTTCTCAGCTGGAGAGAGAAACCCTGGCTTGATTTACCGAGTTGATAACCAGCGCCGTAGGACCGCTTAGCGAGATCGCGTTTGTTAGGGTTAGTTAAGATAACTCAAGCATATCCAGGGTATGTTGAACTGGCTTCGTGGTACAGGGCACAGGTGGCTGCATAGCAGCGCTAATGTCAAAGACATTATATTTTTATTTTACCAGGATGCAGTTACACAAATATTTGGGAAGGCTTAGCCTTCCCTAGCCTACAGCACCCGCCGCCCCTGATGACACGTCACACTTGTTTACAGAAAGAAGGGATTGGTGTAAAGAATAGACAGTCCTGCCTTAAGCAAGCAACTGTATATCCTGTATGAATGCATGCCAAGAAAGCTGATAGTCCCCGTGTGTTGTGTAAAGCACCTGAAGTGCCAATATGGGAATAATTAAGAATAAAGTCTGAAAGTAATACTGGACAAAGAAGCGTGTTTTGATTCCAGCTTTCCTTGCTGGAAAACACAGCCCTGTAGTGTCAGTACTCTACCTGTAGGTGGCGGTAGAGCAGTCTGCTGTATTTTCCCCTGCAGAAGAAGAACATGCTGGTTCTTACAGTTCTTACCATAGGGTTCTTACCGTTCTTACCATTAGCATCAAACAACTACATTTGAATGTATCAAGATTGTGATTGATAACATGGCATTTGAACATTAATGAGACTTCAAAATGTAACTTGTTAATTTGAAATGCAGGTTGGTAAATTCGACCGGCTTTAATAAAAAAGCAGTTAAAATAAGCAGAAAAGTACAATCTATTTCACAAAACAAGAACACTTGTTTACAGAAAAAGGAAGAATATGAACTCGTGCCTTAAGAAAGCAACTGCATATCCTGTATGAATGGATGCCAAGAAAGCTTAAGAAATAACAGTCTGAAAATGATACAGGACAAAGAAGCTTCTTTTTATTGTATTCTAGCTTTCCTTACTGGAAAACACAGCCCTGTAGTGTCAGTACTCTACCTCTAGGTGGCGGTAGAGCAGTCTGCTGTGTTTCCCCCTGCAGAAGAAGAACAGGCTTGTTACACGGAAGCAGAATTAGTCAAAAGCTCCAACCTGTCAATCTGTCTACGCGGATAGAGTCGAAAGCTGAAAGGAGACAGAATAAACACACTTGTTTTCGGTTTTTAATCCTTTTCAAGACACGATGCGGACTGCTTTCCTGCTGCTCACAACATGTCTGTGTGTCTGCTTGGTCAGAGGTGAGTTTTGTGTCGTTTTGCTATGTATTCTTCTTCTTATAGGCTATTCAAATACATTACAGATACCTGTTCCTCCATAATCCCTGATAGCTAATTAGGCTAAGTGTCCATGTTGCTGAATAATAAGTATCACTTGTTTTAACTCAGAGAAAATTAGCCAATCAACGAACGAGTGTCTGTTAAATAAATTAAAACACAGCTACTAAATAATATCTTACTTTTCAATTTTGTTAGCTGTAATTTGGCCATTTTAGTGTTTTTTATTTTGAGATGTTTATACTTCATGTTTGTTTGTTTCCTACTCTTTTTATATTCCCATTACGTGCAATGCCTTGTTTTAAAATGCTGCTGTGACGGAAACATGTCCACATTTGGGATCAATAAAGTCAATCTTATCTTACATTGTTTGAAGAATTACCTCATCCATTTTATCCTATAAATAATAATGAGTGTTATTTACATTTATTTCAGTTGAGTCTGTACACCAAACTAGTTCTCATATTTCGTCTTTTAGTGCGGGCGGTTTTTTCTTCCACCTCGAGCCCTTTTACTTCGTGCTATTAACATCATATCATCTAATGAAATCTTCTTGGCCTATATAAAAACAAAGGACCTTACCAAACAGGTGACACAGAACATAATAGTAGTGGAAATGGATACTGGTCTGGATCATTGAACCCTGCGTAAGATCCTCTAAATCAGGGGTCTCAAACTCAAGGCCCGGGGGCCAAATCCGGCCCCGCAAGAGCTTGCAAAGAATATAATACGTTTATTATATGGTTACATGCCACTTTACAGAAGCAGGTTGCCCATAAACTACATGTCCCACAATGCATCTCGTTTTGTGACATGCGCACTGAAAAGACTTGCAATTATTTGCCCTGGACTTCTGCTTTCAGACGTAGTTAATTACTAAGTTATTATCCTATCCGATAATAATCCACTTCAGAGGCAATAATGTAATATAATACATTATTTTATATATATTATATATTTATATATGTATATTTATATAGTTACAACTGGCCCTTTGAGTGCAACCTTTATGCGAATGTGGCCCGCGATGAAATTGAGTTTGACACCCCTGCTCTAAGTGGTGCCTCAGCAGCGGTTTTATTTGAGTTAGATTTCTGGTTTATTTCTTTATGATTTTGGCCGCTATAACCCCAAAGGGAAACAAAGCTCTAAGGTAATGGAGAAAAGAGCAGATGTATCGAGGTCTAATTGAGGGATAAACAATGGCAGCATTTATTAATAGATGGCAATTTCATTTCTGATATTTCTGTTATTGTCCCCATCCTGTGTGTTCTTCTGCTTGAATCTCTGATTGTGTTTTGTTTTGTGCTTATTTACAGGTGCACCAGAAACCGAGAACAATGCTGTAGCAGGACCCAGTTCAGTAGAGACAACTCCAAACGTAGCTGCTTCTACTGTAGCTGAAGATAAAGATGGGGAACAAGGTATTGGCGTCCCAGGAGCAAAAAAACCAGAAGAATATGAAGCAGATGAAAAACCCACAGTAAAGCCAGTAGGGGAAAAAACGTCAGATGTGGCCAAACCGTCTAACGAATCCAAACAGGCTGACGGGGACTCTGGCAAGAAAGGACAAGGCGACAACGAGAAGAAACCAGTAGACACTAAGCAAACCACAAATACAACAAGTGAGGAAAGCCACAATGATATAAACGGCAAGAAAGGGACCGATGGGAATAACCAGGACCCTGGAGAAGGGAAGACAACACCCACTGTTAAGCCTGCAACCACAACGACATCTGTGAAAGGAGAACCTGCGACTGAAGCTGAAGACCTGTTATTCAAGGGAGAAGTAGATAACACCAAGCCAGGAGACAAAGGCAATGAGAATAAATCACAATTAGATGGCGCAAATAAGGAACAAATAGAAGAGGATGTGGTGGAGAGCAGTCATTTCTTTGCCTACCTTGTCTGTACAGCTGTGCTCGTGGCAGGGCTTTACATCACCTACCACAACAAACGGAAGGTACCTGGGTTTAAGATCACACTCGCACATATTTGAAGCATAATTCCTGTTTCCACCGGCCCAGATTTCAGATGAAAATGTTGTGTGTGTGTGTCAACCATTTCAGTCTGTGTAAGGTAGACAGAAGGGGAAGTCTTTGAAACACAGAAGTGGCTTAGCTATATCTTTTGCATTTGTTTCACACTCAGGTCAGGTCTCCATTATATGCAATGGATTAAGTGGGTCATCGTTTAACGCGGGGAAATATTTGCCGGTGTATTTTTAAAAGTACATTTGGATTAGAGTCATTAGACTAACAGTCTTGTATTATTTTGGGACTAAATATGTGGTACATGTGGTCAGCTTGTGACTTGCAGATTCATTTCTGGGCCCAAACAAGCACTCCAGCTGAGAGCAACAATCTTAAAGGGATAGTTTGATATTTTAGGAGAAATGCTTAATTTCTTTTGATACAGAGAGCGATTTCTCCTCTGCGATGCCTCGGTTAATCATATCAAGGTTTGTCTTGTATGTAAAGCTTCAACCATTCAGTGGAAAACTTGCCAATATCTCTTTTCTTTCCCTTAGATCTTTGCCTTTCTTTTGGAAGGAAAGAAATACAGATCTGCTCGTCGACCTAAATCCGGAGACTACCAGAAGCTGGAACAGAATGTAAGTTGTTGATATGAAGATACACTCCGTCTCTTTTTAAATTTAAAAATACCATATCAATGAATTCTCTCCATTTTCTTTCAGATGTAATCTTAAGTCATGATCTGGAAGCCATTGCCTTGAGCTGCTGAAAAGAAATGGGGGTGTGTAAGAAGAGGGTGAATGGATACTGGCATTATATATTTTCCTGGTTCTCTCTGCGTCGACTCCACCTTTGGATAAATTGACATTATTTTATTCTATACCAATAGATGCTTATCACGTGACTATGCAGATGAAACTGTTGCCTTATCGAGGGAATTAGTGAGATGCAGTGAAGGTAAAATAAGCATGCTGTTATTGCACTTGTGTCATTATTCCACTTTAAAGGCGATGTTGTCATTTGACCTGACTAAGGTTCGGACTCAGGATATTTAGGTAGCAGAGGAAATGATCTGTTTGGATTCCAGATTTGTATGTACAGTACATTATTGCACTGTGCACTAAATAAGCCATTTGTAAATTACTGTCCGTGTACAATTTATTTGAGGTTAAATATCTCTGAGAAAATATAACAAGAGTTTTAGTTGAATATAACCTTTACTTTCCAAGTGAGATGCTTGGACAATAACAATACTCTCCCACTTGAACTGCCTAACGTTTGATACTTATTCAGTCTGATCTTGAAGCGGTCCATTTTGGAAAGGCTGTACTTTGCTTTCGTGCTAAGAGTTATGTAAGAAGATCAATACCACTCTAAAACATTTCCAGTAAACATGGCAAAAGGTTAGATTAGTATAGCATACGTACTGGAAACAGAAAAACAGACAGCATGGCTCTGTCAAAAGTAATACCATACCACTTTCTAGTAGCTTTTTAAAGCTCACTTTCACTCTTTTCATCCAACTTTTAGCTAGAAAGTGAATATCTCCCCCAAATGTTGAACCAGCTCCTAAGATAAAGGAATATTGTGTTGACTGCTGTCAGGGTTGGGCTTGTTAACGCAGCTTAATTGATCCGCAATGATAACATGCATAACTTGCATTGCTGGAAACTGTCTGTCTGGTTCTGTAGTTTCCTCTTTTGATGAATGTCTTACCTGTTGCACTCGTTGCTTTGCATGAAACTGTAGCCTGATATGTTGTAACCTTTAAAACGGTTTTCAAAGAGGAACGTTGGACAGGTGATTTATTGCTTTGAGTGTGCTATTGGAATAAACGTGACTGAGGATAGTAGACCACTATTGCATTAGATACAATTGTTCCGTTAGGGTAGGTGTGTGTGTGTGTGTGTCTTGTGCCAAATTGTGAACAAATGTACCGTGATTCAATGTGGGGTTCTTTTTCTGTGCCTGTTTCCTAATTTATGACTTTATTTGTACCGGTTGAGGGTTATCATTTATTTAAAAAATGCTATCTGGAAAAAGGAAGATAAATCTAATTGTTTCTTGGAAGAATCAAAGTCCATATGATGTCCCAAAATATATTTTTTTTATTGTTACATTTGCAAAGAAAAACGCAACATCTTTTAATTAATTTGCTCTTTTCATGAGTAAAAATGTGTTAGAAAAAACAATTGAGTCATCCTAGTCTGGCAGTAAGCATGAAACGGCATGTTTTCAAGATGTTTAATGAACATATTAGCTACATGAATAGGTATTTATTTCAGTTTGTTAGGCCTTGCTGTCCATATGAAAACATCCTGTTGTCAATCAAGTGTTTATTGCAACATTTTGCGTCCAATTAATCGATTGAGATGTGTTTTGATTCGAAAATAAAAGCTTTTTGTACATTCTAGCCTCAATGAATTGGATTCCTTGACTGCTTTTACTGTCACCTGCTTTCGTGATTCAGTGCCTGTCGAATCACGTTCAGCCAGTGCTGAAAAACAATCAGATCCTTTAGTAAAATGTTAAAAAACATACAAAGCATTATTAAAAAAACACAATAGCACTTGTGTAGTAATGTCAACTGTAGCTGATCAACATAGGAAATACATATTTATATTACAATTAATACTATAATAGTTTATAATGACACAATTCTTAAGAAGCATTTCACTTGGAGTACTTTCGTTAAATAGTTTATTTCCGGAGTTCCCAACTTGGGGGTCAGAGGACACATCTGGGGTCACAATAAATATAACTGGTCATCAGACGTTTAACAGGAAAAAGGAAACAAACTATCAAATGTTTGATAGTTTTACCCCTGTGAAATTATCTGGAAAATCTAGTTGAAATCCCTATTTGGTGGAACTTTTAACTCAAAAATGTGACAAGGGGCCCAAACTAAATACTGGCCAAACCTGAAAAGCATGGGATGCATGTATTTCATAATATATTAAACCTTTTATGTGGACATACATCTTCATCTAAAATAAGTTACTATAGCTGCTGAATAACTAGTAAAGAGTACAATATTTACCCTTGGAATGTATTGGACTCCATAATAAAGGAGTACATTGTAAGCCTTTATACAAACAGCAGTTCATTGTATATGCGAAACACGATACGGAATATTATTTCTCATGCATTCCTTCGTTGTTACAATAAAGAGGCTTCATCATCGCAGTGGCATCATGCTCCTGGCCTCCTCTTCATAAATGTCTGGTACCTCTCCCATGGAGGTGCAGATCATCCGGACAGAGGCGCACCCACGGAGCTCCATCTCATAGCGGATGAGCTGTTTCCAGAAGCCGTTGTTGGGCCTCACCACCGGGCGGCAGCTCCTCACCCAGCTGTGGGCCGCCCGCAGAGACTCCCCGCGGTGCTTCATCAGATAGGCCATGCACAGCGAGGCGGAGCGGCTCACCCCGGCGTTGCAGTGCACCAGAGTCCGGCCACCGAGCTCCGCAGTCAGCTGGATTTTATCCGACACATCGTCGAAGTGTTCCCCCAGAGCAGAGGCCGGGGAGTCGGGCAGTGGGATGTGGATGTACTCCACCCCGCGGTGCAGAGGACAGCGGCTCTTCGTCTCCGTCACGTTCACGATGCAGGTGATGTTGCACCGAATCACCTGGGAGGAGTCGTTGGCTGCTCGGCCATTACTGAGGTACAGGTGGTCGGTGACTCGGCACAGGCCGGAGAGACCTGCGAGACCCGACTGATGCATAAAACGAGGGGAATTCAGCACTGTCAGAAAAATGGTTCACGGAATTTTGTAAACAACGTAGCAAGCTGTAGTAACAAGTAACCCGGGGTACGGCAACTCAGCAAGGACAAAACTGTGAGAGCGCGTAACCTGTCGCCCTCTGCTGGAAGGGGTGTTCATCAGTCACAACGTGGACGGTCTCTTTCAGCTTCTCAACTTTAAAGCTGTCCATCCATCATCTATGTTTCTTATGTCTGTTTTAGCCATGGTCACGGGTTTTTGCTTGTTTTATAGAAGAAAAACACACACACAGTAATCCATTCAGAACTCTTAAACCAAATCAATGAGGCTATTTATACCTGGATTTTTGTTACTAGCATTGGGAAGTTACACGACATCTATTGCACGTCTCTCTGTCCTGGGAGAAGGATCCCTCCTCGGTTTTTTTGCCCCGTTTGTTTGTTTGTTCACCTTGAAAGGCGCTATACAAATGTAATTTATTATTATTATTAAGGGTTTTCTCCATTTTGACCCATTAACTGTGAGGTTTCTCTGGGAGTTTTTCCGATGTGAGCGCCTAAGGACAGAGGGTGTTGTATTCATATTAATATTCTGTAATACCTAAAGCCCTCTGAGAAAAATGTAAAATGTGTGATATTGGGCTATATAAATAAATGTTGATCATAAAGTGAGCAATGCAACACACTGATGGATCTGTACTTGAAGTGCAATCTGAAACTGTGTGAAGTCGTAAACAGTGACTGCGCTTTCAATGTAACAATCAAAACAAAAGTTCAATATTTAATTTATACATACATTTATTTTTAATACAGATATTCAAAACATTTGAAAAGAAATACCAAAGTATTTATTGTTTCGTAGATAAATGCTCTTTTAATTGCAAAGAAACCTTTTGGAAAGGGCATTTCACGGGAACTGAGTTTGAAGTGCTTTCACTGCTTCTTTTCAGTTCCTTCATGAAGACCATACAAAACGTTCCCATTAAAGCCATCAGCACTGGGTTTCTCCGCTGCTCTCCAGGAAGAGAGAAAGTTTCTCCCTGTGATCACCTTTCACAAAACTACACATACTATTTAACCTTTAAAAAGAGTACATCATATTTCCAGGCATAAAAAAATAAACTATAGCTCACCAATTTTTTTGCGCAAACTGATATTTTTTCAATCAAGTAATTTACAGTTTCAAATAAACACCTCTTATGATACTATATTATATTGTAGCCCCCAACAAGCTGTGCAAACAATGTTAGGATATTGATAAATTAAATGATGAGAAGATCATCGCTTCTCCCACCATGAAACGTCCCCTGCAGCATCTTCTCACTCACACACAGGATATCAAAATGTTTTACAGATACAAACAGTTAACCGCTGTAAATGATTATCTCTGAAGGTTTTTTTGTATGAAGGGATTCTGAGGAGGACGTTCTCCCATAAGAGCGCTTAAGGACGACAGATATGCTTTGCAAAATCAAGCACACAAATGCACACGTACAAACCCAAACCCATAAAGCACAGCGTAAATTTAACATGATGTGCAAATGTACTGATTGTGCGAAACGAGGGTGGAAAAAAAGGCTTAAAAGGTCTGGTCATCGTTACAGGATTCGGTCCAGTGGCCAAAGACCTCGCAGATGTTGCAGTATGACCGATCCTCGCCCTTAGCGCCGTGGTAGGTGGTGTGTGGAGGAGAGTCGGGCATCTGCATCTGTGTGGGACAGTCCTCGGTGTCGTGGAGGTCGAAGCAGTCGCAGATGTCACAGAAAAGTCTTGGAGGAAGCTTCTTCTTTGTGGGTTGATTATCGTGGCTGCAAAAAAACAAGTTGAAAATGAGTTACAGAATGAGTTGTATTGCCGCTACATATACGAGTCAGACACATCTTTGGCCATCCGGAGCAATGTCGTTTTTATTTTGGGTTGACCACTCAACCTCACAGCTACACACTTACTCATCATAGTTATCCAGCTCACTTGGATTATTTCCATTCAGAGCAGCAGCAGCCATTGTCTCCAAGTCTGCCTTCTGTTCCTTATTCTTCTTCTGGAGGTCAACGATGACTGAATTCAGGAACTCGATCTGAAAAGGGCAAACACAGTATTAGCATCAGTGCTGCTGCTGAATGATCATCTATGATCTATTACAGTATGTATAACACCCTATGACATTTAAACTTTGATTTATGTGCCTTGATTCTATTAAAACACTATTTAGATTATACAACTGTAACTATGCCCTGCCATATTCCAAAACAATGAATCTTAGCTACACTGAATACAAATATAAACGCAACACTTTTGTTTTTGCTCCCATTTTTCATGAGATGAACTCAAAGATCTAAAACATTTTCTATAAACACAAAATAACCATTTCTCTCAAATATTGTTCACAAATCTGAAAAGATCTGTGATAGTGAGCACTTCTCCTTTGCCGAGATAATCCATCCCACCTCACAGGTGTGGCATATCAAGATGCTGATTAGACAGCATGATTATTGCACAGGTGTGCCTTAGGCTGGCCACAATAAAAGGCCACTCTGAAACGTGCAGTTTTGCTTTATTGGAGGGGTCTGGGGGGGGGTCCGAAAACCAGTCAGTATCTGGTGCGAGGGGTAGGGGTAGGGTAATGTTGTGAATCGAGTGGCCTGTGTTCGTCGTCCATAACATACGCCTGCCATAACCCCACCACCACCACGGGCCACTGATTTGTGAACAATATTTGAGAGAAATGGTTATTTTGTGTAAATAGAAAATGTTTTAGATCTTTGAGTTCATCTCATGAAAAATGGGAGCAAAAACAAAAGTGTTGCGTTTATATTTTTGTTCAGTGTAAGTTATAATAGTGAATTGTGACTGAGTCGTCAGCCGAAGAAGAAACTCAAGCTTGGAATGAGGAAAGTTAGTAAAATACCCGCTTATGAGAAGTGTATTACTAAGTAAGAGTCAACCTTTATTTAGTTAACCCTAAAAATAAAAAATAGCATTTGAAATGTCTCTTTTGAGAAAGCTTGACCCTTTAACGCAAAATAATCAACAGCTGATCCTGGCTCTCGTCCAGGAGTAGTGCTGTGATACAGTTGGCAGCGTAGTTTAAGAGAAAGAAAATAGTTCCTCTGTAAAACTGCACACAAGGACCCGTGGATTATCTTAAAGTAATGGGTCATGCTTTCTGTTGAATTTTTGTTTTTGTTTAGGGCTTCGAGTGTTCCATTTCATTGGAGATATCAGATGCTATTCGCTATCTCTCAAACACTCAGCAAAATGTCTAAATTGATGACTAGCTCTCAAGGGGTTTATCCTAATAAATTCATTTCTATATACAAGCACTACAGGTGAACTGTCCCTTTAACAGATCTGCTCTGATGGCTGTAGTTGTCTATAGAGGAATTTAAGCAGCGCATGTATTGAACGCTAAAGGTTTTAGTTCACCAAGCTTGAATTATCTTCGTACGACCGTTTGTAGTTTTAACGCAGACTAAGGTGTGATCCACTGGACGCCACGGTGACAGAGACAGACATGCACAAGTGAAGCTGATGAAAACATGAACAAACCGCTGCCTGATGGTGTTGTAGCATTGCCAACATCAGAGACAGGGCAGAGGAGAGGAATCGGAGTTTAAGAAAGAAAAGGAGAATAAAAAAATGTTGAGATTCAAATTAGGACCAATCTTCTGCCAGACAACACACTCAAGTCATCACTGACACAGAAAATACAGTATAACATTTAAGTAAACAGAGGCAGGAAATGAGAAGTGATCGAGGAGGAGAGAGACAGGCTGTCATCAGTACGCTTTGAATTTCCATTCACCTCTGTAAAACATTATACTGTAACGAGTAAACAACACACTGTACAATTCAGAGTCTACTGCTACATCAGACGTCGTTTGTGTTAGTAAATGTCTGAGAAAGCAAACAGTCATTTCACAAACTGCATTCAGTGAGACTGTGTCCGTACGACTGCCCCAAATGTGATGGAAAATGTAAACGAGGTTGAATATTTGTCACTTTTTTTTGGGGCCAGGGTAAGGAAGCATCTTCACACTGAATGTATGAATGGCAAAAAGCGTCAATCCATCCAGACCTAGGGTTAGTATTATCCAAGAGGAGATCAAAAGGACACACACCTCTGCGCTCTGCTTGTCGTCCCTTAGTTGCTCCAAAACTTCATCACCTGGAAGATAGAAGAAAAACATGAGTAGAATATTTTCTTTCATTGGGGTCCCTTCACACAGAACTGACCTCTAAGGCAGGGGTGTCCAAACTCTTTTCACCGAGGGCCACATACAGAAACATATACGAAGGCCTGGGCCGCTCACTAGAGGTATATCGCCTCATTAGTTCAGTTATAAGTTAGCTAAATCAATCAAATGTAGGTAAATGATGCTTGTGAGTGTTGGCAGCTCATCCCTTCAAACAGAAGCTCAGATTGATTATAATAAGGGGAAATAGGAAGAGTGTATTTCAAGCTTGTTATGTAAATAAGTTATTAGGCTTTTTTCTTATCAACTAAGATATGTTAGAAAATGTTTCCAACTTGAATTGACTGAATTTATTTGAAAGGTGGTCTTATTAACACATGAATGCTACGGTGTCATATATTTTTACATTTACAGGGTATATGCAGGAATCCTGAAGTCAAATGTAATTCCTTTTAAGACCCTTTCCATACATTTTAAGACCTCATCGCCACTTGGAGTTTTAACCGGTTACATTGGCGACACACTTTACCTCACATTGACTATATACAGTATTGATTGTCCTTCCTCCTTATCTTCCAACCATTTGGACGCAGACTTGCATTTCCCCATAACGATGTTGTTTAACAACCGGCGTAAATGGAGCTTCGTGCGCAGTGAGCGTGCGATGTCCTGTTCAGATGACGTCAAACCCAACGGGATGCCATAAATAAACTACACAGAATCACACTACACACCTACGCAATGATTACATTCAGGCAGACTGTAGAATACAACCTCTTTGGACCCTTTATATACTTATTGGAAACAAGCTACAAAATGTAATACCTTGCAAAATGCCATTTAATATTTTTGAATAGCCTTAATTTTCGCTTAATTGATATTTAAGAAGTACAATCTAAGAAAAAAAACACGTTTCATTTGTGGGCCATATCCCATTATACTTTTTTTAATTTGCTGAGGGCCGATTCAAAATGTTCCGCGAGCCGTAGTTTGGACACCCCTGCTCTAAAGTATTAGCAGTGGTGGTGGATCAAACCCCTTCTTACCTGAGGACCTGTTGATGCTTTCAGGACCTGCCGCCCGGTCCTTCTCCAGTCTTTGAACTCGATCCTGTAACTTAGTCTTGTCCCGCTCCAAGGCCTCAATCGTCCCCTGGAGAGTCTGAACCGAGGCACTTTCCCCACGCAGTGCACCCAGCTGTGAAGAAAGCAATCAACGCTTTTATTCAATATTGAAATAATTAAATAGAGCTGCAATGTTTAGTTCAACAGCTGGAGAATAATTGGCAACTATCTTGATAACAGATCATTCATTAAAGAAAATGAATCAATTTAAGAACATAATAATACAATTCATTGATAATGAAAAATGTTAATTGCAGGGCTTCTATTAAAACATAATTTGAAGATCAAAAAGTGATTTGAATCACAACACTAATACAAGCAAAAGTTCAATTTGAGCAATGAATCCGCTATTCCAGATCTCAGACACAAAACCCATAAGTTCAAGTGTTTTGAACCGGCAAGAAGAAATGCGTCGGCTACTGTGCCTTTTTCTCACTAAGTCGCCGTTCTTTCAGTGCACTCTCAAATCTGGACTTGCTTGAATACATTTTGTGCAAACTCAACAGTTACATCAATGTTCTGCTAAACCAAAAATGCATTAGATTCTCACCTCGCTCTTCAGGGTTTCCACCTGCTGGTCCTTTTCCGAAATTAAGGCACTGTTTCTATTGATGGACTTTTGGAGGGTAGCCTTCTCCTTTTCATGCTGCTCCTTCGAGGTGCTCTCACTATCAGAGACACAATACCAACATATATCTCAGAGGTGCAGTACACAATCCCTCAAGGCAGAGAAAAACTTGCCCCAACAGTTTTTTAACGATAAAGCTCAGTTTTTTGCAACTTTCAGATATTTGACATACAGGGAACTAAAACAACGACAAGTGGGAGTTTGGTTAAAATATTTGGTAAACTTAGATTGGAGATTCAGAGGACAACGGCAACAAAATATAATATGTTCCTGTTGTAGCGTGAATTCAAGCCCGCTCCTCCTCCTTCGTCAACTTCTGTGTTTCACACAAAAAACAAGAACGTTGTCATAAGAACATCTGTGTCTGTGTGTGTGGTGTGTGTGTCTGTGTGTGTGTGTATGTGTCTGTGTGTCTGTGTCTGTGTGTGTGTATGGTCTGTGTGTGTGTGTGTGTGTGTGTGTGTGTGTGTGTGTGTCTGTGTGTGTGTGTTTGTGTGTGTGTGTGTGTGTGTGTGTGTGGTGTGTGTGTGTGTGTGTGTGTGTGTGGTGTGGTGTGTGGGTGTGTGTGTGTGTGTGTGTGTGTCTCTGTCTGTGTGTGTGTGTGTGTCTTGTCTGTGTGTGTGTGTGTCTCTGTCTGTGTCTGTGTGTCTCTGTCTGTGTCTTGTGTGTGTGTCTCTGTGTGTGTCTTGTCTTGTTCTGTGGCTGTCGTGTGTCTCTGTCTGTGTCTGTGTCTCTGTCTGTGTGTCTCTGTCTGTGTCTGTGTGTCTCTGTCTGTGTGTCTCTGTCTGTGTCTGTGTGTCTCTGTCTGTGTGTCTCTGTCTCTGTCTGTGTCTGTCTGTCTGTCTGTCTGTCTGTCTGTCTGTCTGTCTGTCTGTCTGTGTCTGTTGTCTGTCTGTCTGTCTGTCTGTCTGTCTGTCTGTCTGTCTGTTGTCTGTCTGTCTGTCTGTCTGTCTGTCTGTCTGTCTGTGTGTGTGTCTGTGTGTCTGTCTGTCTGTCTGTCTGTGTGTGTTGTGTGTGTGTGTTAGGGGGGGGGGGTGGGGGTGGGTGTGTGTGTGCGGGGGGTGGGTGATGTATATGTGTGTGCTGTGGTGTGTGGGTTGTGTGTGGGTGGGTGTGGTAGGTATATGTGTGTGGGGGGGTGGGTGTGTGTGTGTTGTGTGTGTGGGTCTGTCTATGGGTGGGGTGTGGGTGTTGTCTGTATCGGTGTGGTGTGTGTGTGGGTGTGTGTGTCTGTGTCTGTCTGTCTGTGTGGTGTGTGTGTGTTGGTGTGTGGTCCCTCCAATTTCCAGCATTAAAGCAGATATCAAATCAGCTTGCTTGTTGCTTACTTTCTAATATGTGGAGATATACGGTATGTAATACACGATTGATGATCAACATACACAATAATTAAGGCTTTAAAATACCTTTGTAAGCATTATTTGGCAGGCTTTGAAGAAGAAAGAGAAAAACAGATTGATAGCTTTTGCTTAATAATTCATGTAACATTCATATAAGTGTTTATTGGAACAAATGCTTATCTGCAAAGATCTGTGAAGCTGCTGAATAAAAGAATTATGCATTGACTTACCTTTGCTTCAACTGCTTTTTGAGTTTTGAGTTTTGATCCTTGAGCTAAGAGAAAGAACAAATGTGTTCAAAATCGAATCATGGTCAACAGATCAATATCTAAAAACATGATGTTTAATGCTTGAAGGTTTATGAGTGTATTTGTTTAATTGTTTCACCTTCTCAAGATCACGCTGGTGATTCTGATTGTTCTCGAGCTCCTGATTCAGCTTGTTCTTCTCATCTTGCAGCTTCTGCGTCTTTGCAGAATCTGCTTCTTTGAGCTCCTCTCTAAATGATAACAAATGTTAAGTTCATCTTACAACGTCAATAAAAAACGTACAACATATTAAACAACATTAGTTTGTAGGAAGTTCTTCTCCATATCTATTTCCTGTAGCCCACCAATGATATAATACAATTCATATTGAAATGGAAACAATCTGGTGCCACTAAATGTTTTTAAAGCTCGGTTGGATGCTACTCAATCGGAAGCTGTTGGTTCCTGCTCATGTGGATAGTTATGTAAATTGTAATCCCTGTAATGATGCTGTAAGATGTCCTTTTTGTTGTTCTGTTTATGTTTTATGTTTCATGTGGAACCTACTTGAGCAGGTCTCCCTTGAAAAAGAGATCAATGATCTCAATGGGATACACCTGGATAAATAAAGGTTTGAAATGAAATGAAATGAAGTCTAACAGATATCTGTTACAAGCAGCCAAGACTGTTAAACACCTGAACTAAGAACATCAAATGATGTATCACTTGTATTTAGACTCTTATAGCACTACTTCTATTCTATTTGATTGTATTTACTTGCACTATTTTATCTGTGTTATTGTGTTGCACTGTTGGAGGAGCCTGGGACCTACGATGTTCATGTCCTAACTACACTGTAGCTATGTACGAATGACAATGAAAGCCTTGAACCTTGAATTTAAATATACTCACATTTCCTTACACAGACTCTCAGTCCTCTGAGTTTCTATGCAAAGCTGCTCTTTGGATACATTCAGGTCATCTTGATACTTGGAATTGTTTTTCTTCAATGTTTTCAGCTGAAACAAAAATGAACAATACACATATTTGTAGAAAACACAGAGGTCAACAGGATAAGAAGAGCCGCTTCACCTCTGAGAGTTTACGTTAGCATCTCTCACCTGTGTCTCCGTCTTCTGCGTGGAGCCTCGGAGCTCCTCGAGCAAAGATTGGGCTTCGTTCTTCTCCTGCTTCAAAGTGGCTTTCTCTTTTGTCAGCTGTTCTAGAGCCTCAGCGGTCGTGCCAGAGACCTCTGTAGCCTAAATAGTGCATGAGCAGGATATTTGCTTAGAAAGGTTTCAAATTAGAAGCAGCAAATGGCTGGTTGAGATCAACATCTGATTACCTCAACCAACCCAAATTAAATCATTTGATTAAGCTATTGATAATGCATTGCTAGACATCAACCAATTACTTTTATATTACTTCATAAATTAATCGCATGCCTAATGAGTTACTCATCTTAATGACAATTAGAATCAGTTCAAAATCTCAGTTTATTGCAATTTCGCAGTACATTCGAGTCGAGAATTAACAACATAAATACTACACTAAGGAGTCAAATAATTAGTAAATACTCTAAAGCTCAACAGCCTGTGGGCTCAGAACAGATACTGACAATTATTTAAGAAAGCAAGTTGTCCTTCCGAAACCTGCTTTATATTCAGATATTTCATTATTTCTGGCCAAAAATATGTTGCAAGCCCAAATACTTAAAGGTAGGGTAGGTAAGAACGGAGAAACCAGCTCGAGTGCGCTAGAATTTGAAAGTACGCAGCCGAAACAAATCTGCCCCTTCCTTCAGACTTCCTCACAGAGCCCCTCCTCCAACACACACGAACGCGCACATGACCAATGAGGGCACGAGATAAGTTTGTGCCCAGAGGAAGGCTGACAGGCAGGTAGGCCGGCTCAGATGATTGGTCGTGCTTTTTACAGCGCCACGGCTTCCACAGATGAAATATTTTTATGTATTTATTGTCAAAGCATTTACTGTATTCATTGCTATCGGGATGTTAAGAGCATTCCATGGAATATAACAAAAGTGTTTCTGAAGTGAATTACCTACCCCACCTTTAAGTGAAGGGCATTGTAAATCAGATTATTGTGGCTATAATTATTAAAAAACTATGTTCGGAAAGTCTATTAGTAGGTAAGTTAGTCTATTTACATCTGTTACAAAATCAAATTGAATATGAAACACCACCATATGATGAGTGTGACAAAGATCAGCTTAGCCCTATATGGTCAGTTGATTTTAACATTATAATTGCCTCGTATCACGTTCTAAGCCCACAGGCAAAGGCTGGGAGCCGAGGGTAGTTCACAGCAGTTAGTACATGGAAGGTGAAAGTTAGACATGAAGATAAAAGGGAAGTGGAAAGGCAGACAAACCAGCAAGCATGCAGTGAGAGGTGCCCCAGCCACTCTAATCTACACACGTCAGTGATTACTACTGGAGGAGGAATACCTCAAGCTGCTTAGAAATGGCATTTTTTAGTTGGGATTCCAGCTGCCTGACATGCTGCTGGGCTTCATCTCTCTCCACCAGCAGGGCCTCCTTCTGAGAGGCTAGATTTGAGATGCTGGAGGAAATCTCTTCTTTAACAACAGAGCAAGCAGACACCTCTGCTACAGCACTCTGGTATTGTTTATCCAAAAGTTCTTTATTGATTTGTAGGTCCTTGACATCAATCTCTAGTTGTCTCTGGCTAGTGTGCATCTTCTCCATCTCCCCGAGGAGTTTCGACCGTTCTGCATGCAAGGTTTCTTGACTTGTGTTGAGAGAAGAATTGTTCTGCTCCAATTGACACTTTGCAGCTAAAAGCTCTTCCTTCTCTGTGGTCAGCGAGGTCATCTGTTTGCCTATATCCTCAAGCTTAGATGATAGCTGTTCTTTATCTGTTGTCAACTGACTAATTTCTTGCTCTCGCTGCTTCAATTGCGTTTTCAATGCCTTCGTGTCCATGACAAAAGACTTGTTTTGCTCATCAGTGTTCCTAAGGTTAGAAGACATCTCTTTATTTTCATCTGTGACCATAGACAACGTTTTCTTCAGCTCCTCAATTTGTTTGGAGAGACCCTCCTTGTCAGATTTAGTTGTATTGCGTTCACTAGACTCAGTCTGTAGCTGGGCCTCAAGAAGTAGCTTGGCCCCTGATATCGATTCAATCTTACTTTTTAACTCTTGGATCTCTTGAAGCAGACCCTGATTCTCATTCTGCAAGGACTGCACTTTGTTGTCGGTGTCAGCCTGCAACGACTTCAGACCCTGACTATCTTTAGAAAGGTTATCAACCTGTTTAACAAGTTCAGAATTAGCCTTCTCAAAATCTGTCTTTAGTTTACTGTGCTCTTGAATAAGTTCAGCTTTGCCATTTTCAAGAGTTTCAATATCAGAGTTGTGTTTCTGAAGCTCATTTTGTAAGTCAGCCTTTTCTCGTTTCAATGAGTTCATCTCTGCTTCAATTTGGTCTTTTTGCCGTTTGCTTTCCTCTAGCATTGTTGTTAGATGAGACTTCTCGTGAACAACGGCATCATTAGTTTTGGAGTTACTATCCAACTGGTCTCTATTTGTTCGGATTTCACTAACTAGCTTATCACGCTCTAGAGAAAGAGCATTACTCTCAGATAGGGTTTTAGTGTGCATCTCTTCCAACTCTCCCTTCTCTCCCGCTAAACGCTCATAATCCATTTTCTGCTGCTCTAATGCTGAATCCAGGCTCATGTTTTCTTTCCGTACAACATGTAGAGACATCTCAATTTCAGAACTCTGAAGGCGAAACGTTTGCTTCTCTTGCTCAAACGATGATAATGCTTCTTTAAGTTTCTCGTTGGACTTTGACAGTTGTTCTGTAGAGACTTGAAGCTTCTCCTTTAATTCTTCTATCTCTTTGAGGAGCCCTTCCTTTTCATTACAGACTTTCCTTTGGTTTGCAACCAGTTCTTCTTTCTCCTGCAGAAGGTGAAGCCTCTCAGAATCCGTCACCTGACTGTTGGTCTTGAACTCTTCCAGCATCTGGGCCAGGCTGGTTTTGGAGGCTTTATGTTCTTCACATTCACGGACAGAGCTCTCCAAGTCTTTCTTGGTAACATGGAGCTTACTCTGGAGTTCCTCCTTTAGCGTCGCAAGGCTCTGTTTTTCCAAAACGGCAGCACTGAATTCAGAAGACATCTCTACTTTGTCTTTTTCAAGTGTTTCTGTGAGGGCCTGCAGCTGAGTGTTCTTCATCGTAAGATCTTCTTTTTCTAAGTTCAAGGACTTGAGTTTTTCCTGCAACTTAGCATTCTTAGCATCAAGAGACTTTTTGGCATTTCTAGCAGAATCTCTTTCTAAAATGAGATTGTCCTTTTCACTTGTGAGCTTTGACCTGCTTTCATTGAGGTCATCTTCAAGTCGGTTCTTCTCTTTGCAGACTTTTTCATAATCTTCATTTAGTTGCTTATTTTTAGCCTCAATTTGCTGGATGTCCTGCTGATACTTTAGGAGCAAGTCATTCTTCTCTTCATGTTGTCTTTGAAGCTCCTCGACTTGGGCCTGGTGTTCACCTTTAGCATGCTCCAGTTTTTTGTTTTCAGCCTGAAGAAGATCTTTGAGCTTCTTCGACTCCGTGTTCAATGAATTCCTTTCTTCAGCTGAGGATTTGTTGTTGGCAAGTAGTTCCTCTTGATGTTTTGAGAGCTTTTTCTCGGTTAATAACAGTTCTTCAGTCTGGACTGAAAGCTCCTGGTGACTAATCTCAAGGGCAGAGAGCTTGGTCTGAACATCTGAAAGCTGTTTCTCCAGTTTGCTTTTCTCCGCCTTAACATCTTCACTTTCCTTACATCTATTTTCCAGATCTAGATTTTGCTTTTCCATATTTTTGGACAACTGTTCAACATCATGCTTGTGGGAGTCAAGCTCAGCAGAAAGACACTGGGGGGAAAAAGTTGAAAGAAAAAAAGGAGGGGAATATATATATAGGGGAAAGTAAGATGAATCCAAAATAAACCAAGCTGAAATGGACATAAGTGAATTGGAAAGGTTAAGCTGCACAAGCATCAAAATGGCAAAAATAACACCACAGCTTACACCACAATGACTTTCATCCATATGAAGGTGGAACATTTTCACTTCAGCCCTTACTTTTAAGAATGTATTAATGAAATGGATGTAATCAAATAAACTGGCATTTAAACATTGTGCCTGCTGTGTATACTACCATCACCTGCAGCATCTTTTATAGAGAGGCGAAGTCCCTCCCCTTCCGGGGGGCTCCATCGGACCTTATTTCGGAAAAGTATGTATTGAAGTCAATGGAGAGAGAAAGATTATCTTTCGATCCCGTTTGAATTGTGCCACGAAATACACATATGATGTTTGTCAATTTAAAAGATAGTTTTGCAAGTCAAAAAAATAAAAATGTGTCGTTAAAACTGTGAAGTAACACTTTTTGTGTGAAACCGCTCAATGAACTACATCTCCCGTCTCGCACCACACACCAAGACGGCCGTCACGTTGAAACATTTCACCTCTTTCTCTCAGAATGAGGCGAAAAGAATTAAAGGAGGTGAAAATCACTACAAGTCTGGGCACGTTGAGAGCTGTACATACACACAAGGGGAGTTAGTCGGTTCCGCAAGAGCCAGCATGCGGGATTCTGGGATTTGTAGTTTTTCTAGTTGCGTATTTTTCATAGTCTTATATTTCAACAGTTTTACGACAAACTGTGACTTTTTTGACACGGAAATTATTTTTTAAATTGACAAACATCTATGTGTAATTCGTGGCACAATTCAAACGGGATCGAAAGATAATCTTTCTCTCTCCATTGACTTCAATACATACTTTTTCAGAAATAAGGTCCCATGGGGCGGAAGTAGATGGGCAATACACATTGCCACAAGTATTTATGTTTTTTATAAATGAAATAAGGGTAAAACAGTTAAATAGTGTAAGTCAAAAAAGTAGAAGGCATAAAAACACTAACTTCTTGTAAGGCAGTGAAAATGTTCAAACCAAATGAAATATCAGGTAATAAAAAATGCTAGCAGGGGTACAAAGCTAAATCGGTAATCACTTATTGTAATTTGAAAGAGAAAATGTAAATCAATAGCTTAAGTATGTAAATAGTAATTAGTGATTAAACATTTAGCACACAATCCGTATAATATTTGTACAACACTTTCTTTGGCTTTTCCAATCACTTTAAAATGACTTAAACTTCACATAATCTTAATCGGTGTACCCCTGCAAGCATAAAGCACAAGACACCATCAAATATAAAGCTGGGATGAGTATGCAAACATATGTTATTAGCCTTCATGTTGGGGAGATTAGCAACTCATCACAAATTAACTGTATGACGTTACTTAAGAGTGAAAATGCTGGGGATAATATACATTAATGATTGATGTTAAAGCAAGGACAAATAATCTGACAGTTAAACGTTGTCTCCCATAAATGAACACTTAGTTTAATTTGTTTTAGTGTTTAAACTGAATTTTAGGGTACTAACTTTTCATTCACAAAGAGGATAGGTTTTTTGTCATGATCTTTACATATCATCATGGGTAGAATCAATAATGCATCAAATACATTTTAACATGTTACTGATAGAACATTGAAAACATCTTGTTTCAAGTGTCTGTACCTTCGAAGGTTTCTGCTTACCTTAGCCTGTTCTTTGTAAGTCTGCAACTCAGGAACCAAATTCTCCAGCTCTTTGGTTTTGTCCTTGGATGAGGAGAGCTCCTGCTTCAACGTGTCTACCTGACTCTGAAGAACCCCAAGGTCCTTTGCATGGAGCTCTGAAGCCTGAGAGGAGGATTTCTCTTGCGTCTCCTTTAGCTCCTCAACTAAGGTCTCACTCTGTTTTACAGCCTTCTCCTAGAAATCAAGAGATCAGAAAGACAATAACTAACAGTCTTCTCCTAGAAATCAAGACATCAGAAAGACAATAACTAACAGTCTTCTCCTAGAAATCAAGACATCAGAAAGACAATAACTTGTATATACTTGTTTTGTATCAGCCAGTGACTAAAATATAGACTTTTGGAGTAAACTAAATATACACTCTTATATTAGGGCTGTAGTCAATCATCTACTTTACTCTAACAATCTGAATTTCATCGATACATACTAAATCTCCAGTGCACTCCATATGATCGACTAAATGAACTATAAATAAACATAAAAAGCTATTTGTAGTATATTAAAGTATATTTACCCACTTTTTGATTTACAACGTGACATTTAATTCTCAAAATCAAACACATTTTGTGTGACTGTCCCGCAATACTAACCAGGTTAGTGATGTTGTCCTGACGGCTACTCATTTGAGCCTGATGTGTGTCTCTGGTCTCTTTCAGCTCCTGCTCTTTGCGGGTCTGTTCTCGCTGCAGTTGTTCATTTGAGTGTGCCGCCTTCTCCTTCTCCTCTGTCAGTTGACTCTGTAACTCCTCAAGCCTCCTGAGTGATGGCAAAAACAGAGGACATTAGACGAAGCATGGAATGACACAAAAGCAAGATTTTTTTTTTATTTTTACATACGATTGGTTTATGTTTTTGTAGTAATCCTGTAATACAGGAGAAGGTAATAATGAAGGGTCGTACCTTTCTTTTTGCATGAGATCTTCATTCATTTTTGTCAGCTGTACTGAACTATCGCCAGATGTCTTCATCATGTCTGAAATATCATTTTCCAGCTTGCATTTGTCCTTTGAAAGCTGCTCAAGCTTTTCATCTGCAGCCTTCAGCTTTCTCTCCAGGCCTGATTAAGACGAGATGTTTCATAGATTATAAAGTTACTTTCAACCAGAAAGGAGAAACAACGACATAGTAACCGTTTAAACGTTCTCACCGGAAAGCTGACTTCTTAAAGACTCTGACTCGGTGGTCAGAGAAGTGCACTGCTCTTCCTTCTGACTGAGCTTCTCGAGTGTTTCTGCAAGAGGAAAATGGTTGCATGTTAGATCCTAGAAGCCTTAATGAATAGGAAGAGGCAAATTACTAACAGAAAAGGTAGGAGGAAAAACAGTTTACTATCTGAAATATAGCAATTGCTTATTTCATTTTACCTTGCATAGTGTTCGATGATTTAGTCTGATCCTCTGTGCTGTCAGCCATCTTTTGTTTCTATGGGGGGGAAATACATTCTGTTTCTGGAATATCCTCATTTATACATTTTCAGGAATGTTGAAGGTTTTGTGGTTTGTCCAGCATTATAATTATTATATTATTCGTTTAATGATGAGAACAGGTGATGTATTGAACCAGATGATATGATAGCTCATTGCATATATGTGTATAATGTATATTTGTTGGGTGACTAACAAGGATTTGCACTAGTGGATTTAGACAAATTAAACAAATGTACATAGTTTGTTCATCAAAAGGACACTAAACACGAACAAGCCCGGTATCCACAATAGCTGCGATCATGCATTCACACACAACACTGGACCTCCAATCTCAATTTCACCCTTCTAGAGTGGGGTAGTATTTTATGGACTGGCCAACCAAGCTATACAGCTGCTGGTTTAGCTAATAAGACAAGTGAGACAAGACAAGTGAGACAAAAAAAGGTACTCTACCATAACTAAGCTACAAGACTCACCATGCCTCCAAGCTCCTGTGCCAGGGCGTCTTTCTCCTGCTGTACAGTGGTCAGAGTCTGCTTTAAAGAGAGGACTTCCTGCTGTCGGCACTCCACCTGTGAGCTCAATTCACTAACCTATAGCACATGTCAAGTAAATATTACAGTTGGTAATGGAGAAAAAGCAAACTGCAACGAAATATGCACACCAAACACAAATGAGTGACAAAGGACATGCAGAGATTGCTTCGCTCACATAACACACACTGAACATGGAGTATTAAAATGGAGATGAATTAGAACCCACCTTTGAATCCTGGCTGTTCCCTTGGTTCTGAACCAGCTCCATTTGACTCTTCAGGGTGACAAGTTCCTGGTCACCTTGTGCTACTTGGCTGCGCAGAGCCACTATTTCTGACATCTGCTCTTTGGTTTCTCTATCCTTGTCTTGGGCCTGTTGTGCCAACATGGTTTCTTTATCCTCAAGCTCCCCCACCCTAAGTTCGCCAGCATGAAGTTTTCCAAGAACATCCTCCATCTCCACCAGGTGCTGCTCCTCTACTCTTTCAACGCTGGACCGTAGAGAATCCTCCAGTCGCTCCTTATCATCAATCAAAGACGACAGCTTTGTCTTCAGCGCCTGCTTCTCCCGAGTCCAAGCTGCAGCATCGGCCTCATGTTTGGCACCAGCCTCCTCTAGAGCCAACGGGTGCTCTACCTTCAGCCTTTCAAGTGCACTTTTAGTTTCAATAAGTTCTTCTGCCTGGGCCCCTGCACCTTTGCTAAAAGATACCTTTAGCTCGTCCATGGCTTGCTGATGAGAGGCGATGGAAGACTCTAACTTGGAACGCCACAGATCAATTTTGTCAGCGTTCTCTTTCTCAGCCTGGCTTAAGCGCATCTGGAGCTGCTCGTGTTCACCAGAGAGCCGGACAGACGCAGCCTGAAGCCGGGCGGCTGCCTCACTGTGGCTCTTTTCTTGGGCTTCTAACTTCTCCTTGTACTTTGCTAGTTCTTCTTTCTGCTTTGTTTCTTGGGAAGTCAGCTGATCCCTCAGAGAGTTTATCTCTTCCAGAAGGGGAGAAAGGGTCGAGTTTGAGTCTTCAGAGCCCTGTTGGGACCCGAGACGCAGCTGCAGGTCCGCTACCTCTCGGCTTCGTAGTGAAAGGTCCCTCTCAAGGTCCATAATACGGGATCTTTCTGACACAGTAGCAACCTTAAAGAACAAAACAATCTTACTTTCAAAGATGTATCTTACATAGTTTAGTACGGTATTCAAACACAAATCGGTCTTAGACTTTATCAGACTTAACTGTTACTAAACAAATGAAAACTGACTGGTTAACTGCAATTATAGCCACACTTAGTAATAATAAAATGTGTCTGACAGAGAATTTAATTTGCTTGCTAAATGAGGAGGGCATGAAAAACATAGATCCTGTAAACAAGGTGTTACACTGACCTCTTGTGGCCATAAAGGGCATGGTCCAAATAATGAAAGTGAACACTGAAAGCATGTATGGAGCTATAACTGTGTGTAAGACAATTCCCCCCCATCCATTACACTAACACTATATGATTAATGCTAACCTCATGATTTACATGAATTAAGAATAACATTTTGGGAACATTGACATGTTCCACTTTATTCCAGCTATGTTCCAAATCTGCATTTCATCAATTCTGCTACTTAAGCTTAATATTTAATAGCTTGGTTAATAATTGGCCCTGAAACTAGAAAGATATTGTTCTTGACATCCCTTATGACTATAAGACAAGTGTGCAAAGTCTGGGAGTAGGAACAGGTTTCTGACTATCAAAACGCAGGGACACCAATAAGCAGGACAAATGGATGCTGGGAAGGACTGGGGAAATATTTTATAGGATAACTTAGACAAGGACAAGGGACAAGTTTGTCTGTCTGGTTAAGCAGTGATAGCAGTATAGCGAGAGTGAGTTCAGGTTGGGTTACGTATCGGAAAAAGGTTCAAGTAGAAGTGGGCTGAAAGTTACATCTGGTAATTTCTTGACAGTTGTCATTGTATACCGTAAAACATAAAATAATTTTGCGGGAATCAATTTAAATACGAGGTATAATACTTAAAAAAGGGTAAATAATTCTGTAGCTAATGCCACACTGTAATGCCAGACTGGATAGACCAATTTGAGCATTTATATAAACTTTTAAACTTATTTTTCTGATTATTTGGGTATCATTTTGCTTATATATAAAGCCTGAAAAATGCATTTGTGGGGTTCACCACAAGCTTATACAAAGCAAAGCTCCAGTTGCTGCCCAGCACCTCTCGATATCCCTTGAAAATGTTTTGGCCACTATCCCCGGCACTTTGTTCCAACGCAGCACACTGCAGAGCGGCTTTCATTACCCTATTGTCTTCTAACTCTCTTTGGAGTTTCTCAGCTTTGGTCTTTTCAAAGAGTAGGCTCTGTTCAAGCTCCTTAATGTGGGCATGCTCCAGTCTGGTCTGCGTCTGTTAGTAAACAAGGGGGAGAGGAAGAGAACACACCAGTGCCACCATCACATGCCAGCCCAACGCAGACAGAGAGGGAGGGAGACAGGAGAGAGGATGGAGGGGTTTGGACAATGATAATGGTAGGGGGGGTTGTGTGTGTGTGTGTGTGTGTGTGTGTGTGTGTGTGTGTGTGTGTGTGTGTGTGTATTTTGTGTATGAGTATTTGGGGGATTGGGGAAAGGGTATTGGGAGGGAAGTGATGGATGAGTGAAAATGAGACACCCCATGCAGAACTTTCAATGTTGAGAAAAAAAAATGTGGGTGAGATACAAAACAAGCGACAAAAGAGGGGGCCATGTGTTATGGATGTGCAGGATGAGTATGTTTATGGAGGCAGTTTATAAGTAACCATGCAAAATTGACACCTGGTGAACAAAGCACATTGATTGTTACGATACACAAAAAACTGGATAATTTGTGTCAAGCCACCGAGTAAATCACGTAAAAATGACTTCACCACATCATGGGGAGAAAGCAGGGCAGGTTGTTTCCTGTACAGACATGATCTAATGTTGTAGAATTGTCATATTGATTTATTAATACAAAATCAATATAAAGATGTGTTTCTGCATATAAAGCTAACCCCATAGCATCTGTATCTTCTACTCGTCATCTTGTGACGCATGAAGCCTTTTCAATAACCACACTGCTTTCTCTCTTTGGTGATAAGGCCATTGTTCACAATGCATATTGTAAGTAGTGTATAAGAAACCACCAGTTATCAGACCCCCATGTGCTGGATTTGAGACCAAATCAAAATAAATAAATCAGTATTGAAGAGCTCAGGCTGTTGGACTCAAGAAACAGAAATGATTCGCATTTGACCTTTGTTTCCTATGAATAACAGTTTTTAACGTTTTTAAGGAACTTAAGGAAGCATTTCTTGATGAAGGCTTATTGTATTATATCAGGGGTCGGCAACCTTTTTGATATGAAGTGCCATAAAAAAAGAAAAACTGTATCAGCGTGCCGAACGATCGTGAATTATCAACGGGGGGGGGGTGAGGAGCTCGACGCTCATGAACTGTCAACAGGAGGGCGGGGGGAGCCTCGATGCGGGGAAGCAGTGTGTGGACCTGTCAGCGCAACTTACATGATGCCGAATTTAACAAACAAATTTAAATACTTGGTTTAAACGGCATAATAATAATAATAAGGACGGTCGTCCGTTCTGTGATTCTCCAGAACACACAGATGGCTAGAGCAGGTCGCCAGTGGGCTTTCAACTAAAGACACAGCCACGCAAAAACTGCGGCATTTGTACAGCTCCTTATGGGTACTGCAATTTGTGAAGTGTTTTCCTCCGTGGTGAAACGATCAGCACCACGGAGGAAAGTGGAAGAAAGTCGCCTGGAGTTAAAGAGAGCGGGGCTGCGTTGCGTGCATGGCTTCCTTCTGCAGGTAACGGGGAGACACGCTCTGGCGGCGGTCTCGTTCAGGATCCGCAAATACAATTTTAATATTTTGCACACTTATTCCACTAATTCCTAGTGTGCCACTGGTTACGGTGCCGCGTGCCACTGGTTACGGTGCCGCGTGCCAGGGGTTGCCGACCCCTGTATTATATGTTCCCCAATGCACTTAAACTTAAAAGTTTCATTTAAAAAAAGGGAATCGACTCAATTTTAAATGTTGTGTCAACAGCATATCCCAGGTCACACATTAGGTTTTCAATTGACACAATCTGGCAAAAGAGGCCTGCCTGGCTAAATTACTGATATACCTAACTCAAAGGTAATGAATAAAGCAACAAGGATTCGATTTGGAAACAAGAAAATAAATTTGAGGGCTCACTGTACGTCTTTTGAGTAATTTGAATGTAAATTGTCGTTAGCGTAGGTAAGACCTTCAATGTAGCCTGACACATCTAAGTTTATATGCAAATTACATTTAAATTCTTAAGCTGAGTGCATTTCCCATCAAATTGCAGTGGGCAAACAGAGTTCAGGTCTGTGACTGGGGAGTGGAATGACAAGGGAGCATCTCCAGTGGTTCCATGCTGAGCACTGGACCAACATGAAAGACGGGGAAGAGAAGGAAGAAGAAGCAATAACATCAAATCACTGAACAGGGAGGCACCGAGGGTTATAGCACAACATTAGTACACCTTTAACAGCTTGAAGTCAACAAAGCATTTGGGAGTTTTTTTTTACGTCTGTCAAGCTTCATGCACATTTTTAATGTATCCACAGCTGTGAGTAAGTAATAAACTGTTAGTATACACGGTTAAAAAGAAGATATTCTAACCCTGTAGCCCTCAATTTAAAAACATCTATTTTGAGCTTGGATGCCTTCAGGGTAAATGAGATGGTCCCCTGTGTAGCTCTGTGGAATAAATAACAAATCCTTTGATCAGATATGAACACAGGTAGCACTGAGCCCCAATACCTGCCGGACATAACTTGGGATGAAAACATGACTCACCTAATATTAGGATAATGGTTTACCAGAGCCTTATGTTTTAAATAATACTACTAACATCACAGGCTCTTTTGGAACAATCACACTAGATTTGATAATTACCTGGAACAATATAATAATATCATTTATTACATTTCCACGCAAACACGCCTACCGAGAATGCAGAGTAGGAGTATGACTGCCAACATAAAGAAATGCAAATGCTCTGTCAGGACTCAACTGGAGTTCTGTGATCAGAGGTACCTTTTAATCTTAGGGTGCTTTCACACAGTCATTAGGGCTGCTCGATTATGGCAAAAATCATAATCTCGATTATTTGGGTCAATAATTGATATCAGGATTATTAAAAATGATTATCCATTTACTTTGAAAACATCCATTTATTGAAAAGAAAAATGTGAACAGTGTGTTTTTAACAGTTGATTACCCTGAACTTTAAAGGGATAGTGGAAATCCGCGAATTTTGGGTTTAACTTATGTATTTTTATTAAAAATAAGCATAATAAACAATTTTTTTAAATTTCATGCGCCTAGTTTCATTTTATTTTCAATTTTACTGCGCCCTCTCAATGAAACGAAATACTTCGGGAATCTTCGGGTGATGACGAGAGCAGAGGAAGACGAGCACAAACAATGGCGGACATTCAATAGCATTTGCATGTGAATAGCCGACCTTTATTATGGTGAATAGATGTGTCAATACTTTATACCGAGTATATTGCCATAAATATGATGATTGATTATCAGTAAAAAATTCTACGTGACACAACGACATTGGATTAACCTTGAGATGCGTTTTTATTCCGTTGAACACAACTTTTGATCACAAATCAAAAAAGGTAAGACGTAATTATTGTAATATTTTTGGAACCGGATGTTGTTTACTTTCTCTTTTCTGGCTGATAGCTCCAGGAATTCGAGGTCTTACAGTGATGACATTACATGTGGGAATCTGTGGAGTCTCAGCTTTAAATCGTATATCTTGTTTGTGCAGTTAAGATAGTAATAAGGGCATTTCTACCGTGTGTTGTGTGTAAAAAAGCGTTAGCATTAGTTAGCATTGTTTCGCTCAATGCTAATTCAAAGGCTTGGTATTACTCTTGTGTTTTTTCTAGCTAACAATTGTTCTTATTGTCAGTTAGCGGAGTTTCTTACCTTTAAAAGGGTATGAAACATTAATAGTTTCATAAATGTTAAGAAGCCCTGAGACATGTGAGAGAAAAAACTGTGGGAGGGGTCCACTGGGGGGGACAATGGTTAACAATGATTAATATTTGTAAAGGCTACAGGTGATCTTAAGATGCGTGAGCTATGCTTAGGGACCTACCGGTCAAGATTATTTGTGCGTAGGGGTGCATCATCTGGCGCCTGGTCCTGGTCATCCTCGCCATTGCCCATGCCGTGAACCATCACCTCGGGCTCGGGCTCGAACAAATAAGGACGTAATGGTCCATCGTCTGGCTCAATATTGTCACCATCGTCGCTTACTGAACCGGATTCAGATTCAGTTCCTAAAACGACATTTTCGTAGGAAAGCCGAGAGGATGTTTCTGACTCGCCATCATCACTGGATACCTCGTACAATCCTTCTTCTTTGTCTGGTATATTTGCCCTTCCACGTTCATTCTGCATAGACGCCATGGTTTGTTATCGTATCGTCTTCCTAAGTTTTCGTCACTTCCGGTTTGGCTGAGTCGAACATTTCGTTTCTAAAAAACTTTGGGGAAGCTGCAATAAAGTGCTTCTAACATGCGTAAGGCAATTATTATATTTTTTAATCAGGTGTGATTGTTTTGATACGTAATTATGCTTGTATATAAGTTAAAACGAAACTATTTGAGGTTCCATTTCCACTATCCCTTTAAGTATAATTCAACTGAAAAACCAATAAAAAAGAAAATAAAAATAATAAAATAGTTTTATTTCGATTATGTTGTTTTCATAATCGTTGCAAGCCAAAATCGTAATTGCGATTAAAATACGATTAATTGAGCAGCCCTAACAGTCATTAGGTCTGAATCCTGACACTCTCTAAATGTGATATATTTATAAAATGTTGCCGATTTGCACTTTAATTATATGCTCCAAAAATCCCTTTAGTCAGTTATTTTTTCTGGAGATCTTTAATCTATACAACAGAAGCAATAAAGTTCTGATTTCCCCATGTTGGTGCGGATACTGCAGGACGACGATCGCCAAACCTGTCTAATCAAGGATTCTGTATAACTCCATGTTTACCCCTATTGGCTGACCTGTAAAAGGGTGTGTGAACGTGAACGGGACAGGAGCTAAAATGCAGCAAGGTATCTGTTTCTTTTGTCCTTGGTTCGAACCAAATGAAACTACAGATGTGAAAGCACCCTTTAGTCGCATCCATGGAGACACACTGATATACAGTATACACAATGATCACTTTATTGTAATGGCTATAGAGCAAGTTTTATGTGAACTGATTCCTGAGTTTGAACCAGGATGCAGGGTGATAAGAGCACCTGCTCAATTGTTCTTAATATAACATTTAAAATCAGTAGGAAAATGTTGAGTTCGTATTTAATTAACATACCAATAATTTCATTACAGTCCTGTTTTAATGTTATTACATTGAATTCGATAAAAAGTGTTAGTTGCCATGGTGTCGTGCAATTACCTCCAGGTCTCCTTTGGTGATGCACGCTTCCTCCACGCGGAACTGAAGGTCCTCCACTTTTCTATTGGACAGAAAAATAAAGACAAGCAATGATTACGAAAAGGGTGAATCAAACTCGGGCACATATCTTTCCTCAGGACATGATAAGACTAATAGTATAACGGTATTATGATGCCATTTTATCTCTCAACAAACTACATTTATAAAATGATTGAGTGATAATAAGACTTCTGGCAACCCTTACCTTCGCTCCTCTTCCAGCTGATTCAGCAGATCCACTTTCTCTTTGTCTGCAGCTTCTACCAAGACTCTCAACTGATCCATCTTGGTCTCCATCTTGAACAGACAAACCAAAATGAATACAGGTGATGAGGCAACTCTTTTTCTCAGAGTCATTAGGGGTCAACAGTAGGGCCCAATCCCAAACCACGCCCTACACCCTACCCCTCCACCCTACCCCTCCACACTACCCCTCCACCCTACCCCTCCACACTACCCCTCCACACTACCCCTCCGTTCGCGTGGAGGGTCCGCCACATTAAGTGCTGTTCCAAACCAACGAGTGTGGAGCGGTGTGGAGGGGGAGTGGGCTATCAAGCCATCAAACAGCGAGTCTGCATCGGTGCTGACTTGAGACCGGTCTCTACCTGACCGGTCTCAACGCTGTGTGTGTCCGTCAGGAAACAAGCTGTTAACAAGTAGTTCCAGCAAACATCCACTGATAAACTGCGATGTTAACATCCTCATGATAACCTCATATGTTTTTAACTTAGGATCATACCTGTGTTTAGTCTAGAAAAAGGTAAATGTGTGCATGTTAATATAAAGTTGTGTATATTTACAGACTGTTGCAAAAACTAAGAAGCTTATAAAAATCAGGTTTAATACTTTGGAGTTTTATTTTAGTTATTAATTTTTAGCCTAAGAGATGCTGATTTGAAACCGTTGTTACATACAGTTACGGCATTTCCTGTTTCTGCCGGAGAGAGGGGAGGCCGTCCCAAAGCTTGCTGCTGTGTTTACTCCCTCCATCTGACAGGAGGGAGCCTCGTTGAGCTGCGAGTGTCACTCCAGGGAGTTCACTCCGTCACAGAGGGGGAGTGTGTAGGGGTAGGGTGTAGGGCGTGGTTTGGGATTGGGCCAAAGTTAATGCAGGTAGTTATTACTGAACCACTGGGGTAACTGACCTGCTCCTGATCGTCCCTGAGCAGGCCCATTTCTTGAGCCATCTCTCCAGCGTGGCCTGTTGCCTTGGCGACTTCAGCTCTCTCCGTGTCCCTTTCATTCATAAGCTGCTCAATGTGCTGCTGCTTCTCCTTCAGCGCCTCCTGCAGGGCGGTGGTGCCGGAAATTTTACGATTATACCGTGATGATGTCTCTGTTAGCTATGGAGGGACATAACACGAGCAACGTCAGACTGGGAAAACACAGCATTATAAAAACTGATGAAACGATGATGAGTGTGTCCGTGTCTCACCAGGCCTGTGCGGCTGGGCTTGGCGCTGACAGAGGACGCCACAGAACTCATGCTACTGATAGAGGAGGCACTCGGGCTGCGCTTCAGCCCAGTTGGTGTGGCCACTACTTTCCGAACCGTTGTTTTTGCTTTGGCTGGCGTGGTGGAAGGGAAGCCGATGCGTGTGACTTTGTGCACTGGAGCAAATAAGCCGTACTTCGGTTGGCACTGAAAATATCTAGGGACACACATTGGAATACAATCATGCTGATGGAAGTCTTAGTAAACATGTGGTTAACTAGTATGTTAAAGATCCAGTGGTTTTTGTACCTTGTGCCTGCCACGGCCCCGTCGTTCTTTCCTAAAGGCTCATCCAATTCCACACCGCACCACTCGCCTTTGGCAAAATCGGTTTCTCCAAGGAAACGTACCACCCCTGCCTTTGTACCACCGACCTAAGAAGAAAAACACTAAACATTAGCCTACATTTAATCTCACACATGAGAGAAGCCTAAAGAGCAAGCAGCTTTGCTGGGTAACACATCCTGAGTGAGATAAACCTATCAAAGCGACAGAAACAAGCATTTACCAGCTTTGAACTGCATGAGGCCAACATGTCAACATGTGAATGGTAATGTACATCATTACAATCAGTGTTAGTACCAGTACTTCTTTTGACTCAGGAGCTGGAATAGACCACTGATTTGAAGTGGAATAGACGATGTGTTGTGAAGTGGAAGGGACCATGTGTTTTTTTACTACATTGTAGAAAATGAAAGATCAGGAAAACAGGAAATAGTTAAAACTTTACCAATACTCTGTCGCCCATCTTCAGTTCCCTTTCCCCTTTCTTGACGGATCCAGTCTCAGAGAGGTTGGAGACAGATTCACTGTTTGTGCGTGTGAGGTTAGATGGTGTCACCGGTGTCGCTGGTGTCACTGGCGTAGTGGAGGAGGTCTTCTTGGTTGATGTGGTAGTTGAGGGTAATGTTGATTTTGTGGCGGGTGTATGTGAGGCAACGCTACTAACTGAAGGAGTGGGTGAAGAAGCGCGGGAGGGGGGTGCCGTCAGAGTTCCATTAGCCTCCCCCTCTGTGCGAGACAACTTGGATGGGCGGGTAAATATCCCTCGCAGGGCATCACACTGGAAGTAGCGCACCCCTGCCACTGAGCCATCATTCTTCCCAATTGCCTCATCCAGAACGATCCCTGCCCACTGCCCTGGTGCAAACTGAGCCTCTCCCAAAAATTGTATGTGGCCTGACTTATTCCCATTAACCCAGACTCGCTCTCCAACCTGGAAGCTCTCCCCGGCACCATCTTCTGCACTGGCGTCTGGAGCCGGTTTGTTGGTTGCAGCAACTTTAGATCCTGCTAAAGAATAATGAGAGAGAAAGAGAACAAATGACTTGTGAGACTAATGTAAAAAATGGAGTGCAAAACATGCAATATTACTGCAAAAGGTATTTTGCGTAAATGACAACAAACGCAGCGAAGGTACATTATGGTTGTTATGCTCTCACATTTGTTTTGATTGAATGCAACCTGGAGAAATGTGATCAACAAACACTAAATTGGATTCCCTGCTGTATGTCTGTTAGGATACAGATGAAAATAAACAGAGAGTGTGTCTAATATGCAGTTCCATTCATTCAATCAAATTGACCACCTTCTTTGCCGGTTTCTAGCAAAAACACTGCATGAACCCATACAAAAAACTCTGTGGCTACAAGATAATACAATCAGTGTTTCATGAGCTAAAACAATGGCCCAGGTGAAGACTCTTACCTGAGCTGGGGTTGGTCTTAGGGGCTGCTGTCCCAGGCGGTCTCCCTATCTTGCTGGGCCCTTTTATCCCACTGGCCTTACTCATGTTTCTTCCTGTGATCTGCTCAACCTACAAGGCTTGTGTCCGACGGTGGGTACAGACTGACCCCAGACCATCAAAAAACTGGTTGCCGCTTCGGGATGGCAACTTTTGAACGCTTCACCAAAATTATATAAAAAAAGAAAAGTTAAACAAAAAGCAAAACCAGGAAAAGGGAGTTGGGAGGAAAAGTGATCGCAAGATGGACCCTGTTTGGAAGACAAAAAAGAAACATTACTTGACATCAAGTTAAATAACAGATGTATTATTTGCTGACTGTTCCTGCTTCTGCTATGGGTGGCACTGTGAGCAATCTTTTCATTTGGAGATATGCATGTTAATACAACAGATACACCTTCAAGTCATGTTCATTGACTTTGTTTTTCGTGCAGTGTTAATGGTGGCATTTTGTTTCTGTTATGACAACAAGCTGCTCAGCACACACTGTCACAGGCAAGACCTAAAAATACCCTGTCAAAGGCCGGCCAGTCTATGTTATGCAATCATGAACTTCTGAATAGCTATTCATCTGTGACCTTAACCTTAATATACAGGCAGAGCCCCAAGCAGGCTCTCACTCAATCCATCATTCTGGCATCTAAACTCATGTAAGTCTGGTTAGCAGCTTTCCCTAAAAACAGGATTACTGTAGTAACAAGACCACCATCAGCAGCAGATGATCCTGCTTGTCAGATTACCTCACCACGAAAACTGTCTGAATGTGGGATTAAAGCATGGTGCCCCTGTCGCCGGCAGATTGGCAATATGATTTATTGTAACATTGTGATGAAATGGCCTTAATGAAATCAAACAACTGCTGATTATATTGACAGGTTTTGAGTTTCAGGCAAATTGAATTGACTGTCAGATCTGTAGCATCTCAAGCTATCTCAGTGGAGGTGTTGACAACATCATCTCTGCAGGACCAGGTGCACAGAAGGTCTAGCACGCCGAGTGTCATGCTTGACTGTGTGTGTGACCACAGTCAATAAAAGCAAACTACACACAAGCAATCTAAAGCGAGGATGAGCCGGTTTGTCAACAACATGACCTGATAATTACTGGAATGTGTATGTGTTTTAACTTGCCTCTATAATGATGGCGTCATAATTAAACCTTACATTTGGTAGAAAACATGAAAACAAATGTTGATATGTTAGGAAAATATGTATAAGTAGAGGTACCAAAGAGTTTTCCCAATGACTGTATTTAGTAATTGGATTCAACGTGCTGTTCACCTGCCTGTTATCCAACAGCATCTCTTTAGATAGATTGAGAGATCAGTGTTTGTGGAACAGGAAGCTTTTTCAGACCAATTTGTGCCAGTTACTTTATGTTTAACTGAGCCATTTTCTGTTACACATTAAGCCATTCAAGCTTTAGCAGTCATTTCACTTCTCCTCCTGAATTTTGCTTCAGCCATTTTGTCGGCCGGTCCACACTAAAAAAGCTTGGAGCTGAGCGTGTCTGAAACTCGACCAACAACCAATCACATGAATCTCCCGCCCCTGACACACAAGCAGCGGTTTGATTGGCTAGAGCTTGTACTGGCATATGATTTGATTGGCTGACGCTTCCACCGAAAGCTTCAGAAGCTTCAAAAGTTGAACATTGCTCAACTTTTGCAGCCTGAAACGCCAGGAAAGCTCTGCTTCCCACAATGCAGTTCGGCAAAAAGTGACGTCACCCCATTCAAAGTGGGCAGATGCGTTGGAAACCGTTTTTGAAGCTGTCGAAGCTGTAGTGTGGACGGGCCGTAAGTAAAGTGTATAAACAGCTTGGATAATATCAGGCTAAATGGTTTCACTATTCTCTATCAGTAGCATAATCATTGATTTCAAACCCTTGAAGGATCCCGGGGCAGATGAACAAACATGTCTTGATATGGGTGCCTGTTCGGAAGTCCCTTTCATAAATAAAAAGGTCAGCTAAGACATTTGATCTCACAAAGGGTAAAAATGTAATGAAGAGCTTGTTCCATGGTGTCACTCAAACATACCTGTCATTCCTGTAAGGGCCTAAGAGTTCAAGTATGTAGGTTTACCGAAGACACGATTTCTCACAGCCTAATCATTATTTCTCAGCAGAAAATAAAGGGTGGCTATCAGAAGGCAGTGAAGGCAGTGACCTAGTTCAAATGCAGCGTTCCAGTTTTCTCCCACAGTGCCTTTGAGTGATACTGATTAAGCCCTCGGGTCAATGGGAGGCCAAATAGAGAGAGCCTTTCTATGGCTTTCTACGTGGTTCATTCTAAAGTGTATGTATAATAATTATACAGCACAAATGATAAAAAGGGAAACTCCTACAAGCCTTTGGAATATTGCAAGAACGATTTTTTCTGAAGCCAATAAAAGCATAATCATGTCTTATTAGAACATCACCAGGCCTGCTTACAACGGTCTTGTGAGCAGCAACAGAGGATGGGACAGCTCTGTCTGAACCTCTGAACGAAAGCAGTCCACTTAGTCTGGAGAATTTCCCAGTGCAGTAATGTTAATCTTGTGGCACTGACTCTCACGTAAATCTGGTGGACAAAGCCAAATACTAATGTTTGGGGAAAAGTTCATTATTATAATGAACCTTTTTAACTTTCTTAGCTATACCCAATTCAATGTAGTCTGGTAGAAAATCAGTTCTCAATACACAAATAGAAATGGGTATATATGGTAGTCAGTCAAACAGAACTGAGATCATCTCCACTTCTCAAAATGACTGAATAGACATAAACGACTTCCATGTTGGTAATAACAGAAGTGTATGTGCTCACAGGATATGAACAGTAGACCGTTTGTGAGGATTTCACTATTACTCATTTTCAAAAGCATGTTTGGAAAAGCAGAACACAAATAAATCTGCAGATCAATATCTACATAACTTTGCTACCTAGTTAATAAACTGGCTTTATAGGATACAGTACTCTCACCCACATTCTTCAGTCAAGCATATCTTGCCGACTGCAGGAGTGCAAAACCATTTATGATACAGATGTGAACTGAATCTGTTTGCATGTGTTGTTATAACAGTACAAACTCTCTATCCAGTTCAGCCTCCCAAGTATTTGTTAACAGGCGGGAGGGTGTACTTGTTACACAACAGCAGGCTTTCATTCCATCATGTTTTTCAGCAGGCTAATAATAACCATTGACATCAAGAATATTAAAGTACAAATAGGTTTCCTAAGAATGTTTTTACAGCAGGTCCAGCTTTTCCTGACTGGACTAAGTCTACAAACACGGCTACCTATTAAACCTTTATACAACCGCAGATGTTTGTATTCACCGGTATAAGTCTCACTGCTACACTCCTGCTGTTGTCATCACAAGCCAAGAAGACCTCTGGTTCTTCCTTTTTGAGGAAACATCTGCTGGGATGATTGTGTAGTCCCCTGCTAGCACTGACAGAGGAAGGTGTGGAAAAACACCAACAGGACATGAGCACAGAATGAGAGCTTGAAGCATCTTACGTCTTCTGTGTCTGTGAAACAGATTCACATGTTTTCAAGGAGCCTCATTGCCAACAGGCGGACATTAAACCTACATTACAGCTACTATATGTCAACTATAGCCAGTCTCAACACAAATCCTGGCACTTACAATTGTGGTTAGACATAAAGGAGAACGAAATATATGGTTGGGTATCCAAAGTTTTCACTGCGACACCAAGGTTATATTCAGACTTTCCAGAACATATAAAGCCTCTTCCATTAGAACAGCTAGAGAGATTTGTATAACATTAAGTTTACGTAAAATCATACATAATGTTTTCTACATAATGTTTTTTAGGTGTACCAATTATTACACTTTTTTGAATCAGACTTCCTCACCAATGTTAGCCGTTCTATCGTATAGCCTGAGATTAAATTCCACATGGAGAAGATTAAGACTAGTAGAAATACCGGAATTTCAAAGTGTTATTGACTCAAATTCCCCAGCTTGTAACCCGACATAAAAAAAACGTAATTCTTATTAATCAGTTAAACAGTTTTTTGTCCGAAACAGAAAGGCTTAAAATAAATAGTATCACCTTTCAACTGCAAAACTGTCAAATGCATTTACTCTACTTATGCGCGGTTGCTTCACTGACATAGTGTACCTGTGCAGTCAAGTCAATTATCCTGAGGCAGAGGTAGAAGAAGTACTTAAGTCAAAGTAGAAGTACGAGAGTGTGGGAATACTCAATTACAATTAAACGTCCAGCAATCAAAATGTTACATAAGAGTAGAAAGGTGTTGGCATCAAAATATACTTAAAGTACCAAAAGTAAAAGTACTCATTATGCCGATTGGCCCATTTCAGAATAATACATACCATATGTATTGATCATAATTATTGATGCATTAGTGTGATCAAAGCTGGAAAAGGTGCAGCTCATTTTATTTACTTTGTATACTGTAAGGTAGCTTGTGAATTTACTCCAGGTGTAACTACATTCTTATTTGATTTTATTTCACATTATTAATCCAAATTTGCAAAGTAACTAAAGGTATTAAATAAATGCAGGGGAGTAAAAGTACATGATTGACCTCTGAATTGTACACATAAGCATAAAATGGATATACTCAAGTAAAGTACAAGGACCCCACAATTGTACAGTGCTTAACTAAATCTATGCGTTTACTTTAAACCACTGCCAAGTCCTGAGGTCTTGGCAGTGGTATAGCAGCCTGTGAAAGTGCCTCGCCTTGTACCCTCTCAGTAGCTAGCGGATTGAGAGCTGTCGATGAGGTGGCACATCTGGTAAGAGAAATCTGAGAATATACAACAACCACCATAACCGCTAGCTTACTTACCTTACTAGCTTAGTTGACAAACCTGGTGAGGCATATATCCTTCTGATTAGTTATACAGGTAACATTCAAAACACCGGAATAGCCCGACCAGTGTGGCAAGCAAAACGACTAAAGCAAATTCCTTGAGTCCAAAAGTGTCCGCAATGTCACCAGAGCTCCAGTAGGGCACACTGCTGCTACAAGTTGAGAGTCAGCGTAACAATTTCTAACAGATTAACGTGAAGTCACCTGTTAAAACACCTTTCCTTATAATGTTGTTAATATTAGTTGTTTTCACTGTACACTCACATATTCGGCTAAAATGAATCCCAGTCTGTTATTAAGATTGGAATACTGATAATTAGTTGCTAAGTAACGTTAGCTGCGAGGCCCGACCCAGAGAAGCAGGGTTTGTTAAGCTAGGTTAGCTAGCTAAAACTACCACCTTAAGTATCACTAACCTGGACACGTTTAATTTAGCGTGGAGTTTCATGGTTTATCGGTAGGGGAAAGTCAAACAAGTTTATGTGAACACATGACCTCGTCGGAGTTAGCTAATACTGACCTGATATGTTGCTGTGCAGCCTACGTCTTCTCAGGAAATACACCGCTAAGCTAAGTAGAGAAGCACGTCGACGGATCAGAGCCCAGTGCTGTCTGACCAACGGGAGGAACGTCAACGGTAGGACGGGGCCGCCCAAAGATGTTATGTTCAGTAAGATGAAACACTGCCTCACAGCAGAATACATTTCCAGAAGTTCAACTTTACTGTTAATACTTGTAAAGCACATTTCCACTTGTAGAAGGAAAATAGATGAAACTTTGCCTTGTGGTGAAAAAACCCCCCAACATTTTAGTCATTATTATTACAAACTTTCTGAAAAATAATGACTGAGACTCCAAAAATTGCCACTTAGTTTCTCAAAGAATAATACTTCCAAACAAACTTTACGGTTGATACTATTTAAGCAGATGCCCACCAGTAGAAGAACAATTTAAGAAAAACGTTGCCTTGTGATAAAATAAAACAATATTTCAGTCAGTATTATTACAAACTTTCTGAAAATAACTTCTCAAAAAAGCCAGGAACGTATTTTAAGATTTGATATTATTAGTTATTTTGAGATTGTTATTATTTATTTAAAGTTATAACTTGTTTGTATCTACAGTTACAACTTTAAACTAATAACTTGCTTAAGTGCTTTCCCCGAACGCATTGGCAGAAAATGGATTTCAATCTAAGACCTAATTCATTAGTTTGATCTTCTTGAAAATAATCAAGTGAAAACAAATATTCATTAATGACATTTTAAGTGACCATTAAGGAAATTGCCACGGGAAATAAATCAAACATTGAGAAGTAAAATAAGTGTACTGTAGATAAACAGTTTCAGATTACTTTGGAAGGGTTTAGAAACGACATATCATATACAGACACACACAAGCTTGTGTATGAATGTGTATTTGCACAAGTATGTACTGTATGTAGGTGTATGTGGGTATTTAGTATGCATATATGTACAACTCATTTCGTATGCATGTATGTGCAAGTCTCCATCTACACATAGTTTAGAATATTGACTGAACACTCGATTGACATAACATTTACTTGTTGTAAAAATCTATAAACATCCTCAATTGCTTATATGAAATAATATGTGGTGGACAGTAACAGTAGCTATATTGAATCAAGTACTTGTCTTGAGAGGCAACGTTTAAGGTTCTTTTCATCCCTACCACATTTGAGTTACTTTGAATATTCAGATTAATATTACAAAATATAATCAACAAATAATGTATCATGTATTATTCTTGGTTAAAAGCTTATCCACCTGATGAATCCCTTTCTGAAAGCTGTAAAAAAACTGAAGAAAATGCTAATTGTTGGTATGCAGTTCCAAATAAAGCAATGACGCAATTGAAAGCCTGTTTACTGAATGGTTTCAGAGCAATTTCAGTGGGACAAAAATAGAAAACCCCATTAAACAGCATAATATTAAAATGAATACAGTTCAGGAAAGGACCATTTTATAATTGTACAATAAAATTAACAGCATGAGTAACACAACTGCTAGAACAAAATTAGACTAATTGGTCAAAACCTACAAACGTTTTCCGTTGCAGCATCCCTTAATGCCCCCCCCCCCCCTTGTATCTTAACAGAGCAAATGTGTATACACAGCATAGACATTCAACTTGGTAAAAAACAATTAACAGCTAAACACATGCTTTATAAGATGGTCAAGTTTGTGTTAAAAAAATATTGATCCCTGCTATGATCCAAATGAAGGTGGTCCATTATTATTTTTTCTTCGCGATACTTCGAGGGGAGCTTTTGAGCAAGTCTCTGATCTTAAGGTATGTCCCTGTGGCTTCAGCGACTTCAGTGTACTCTGGTGTATCTTCAAACTGAACGATGCCAGCTGCAAACCTGCTTCTATGAGGAACAGCGGATATCTTGTCGTCATGCTGAGGAGAAGCACAATCTCCAGCATTAGAGGGATCTAGATCTGGAATCTGCCGGCTGTCATCCTGGCATTTGATTGGAGCAGGGCTCTGCCGGCTGTCATCCTGGCATTTGATTGGTTCGGGGCTCTGCCGGCTGTCATCCTGGCATTTGATTGGTTCAGGGCTCTGCGGGCTGTCATCCTGGGATTTGATTGGAACTGGACTCTGCAGGATTTCTTCTTGTGCTTTGACTGGTTCGGGGCTCTGAGCTTTAATCTCTTGAACCACGGGCTTCTTTTGAATTTCACTGCTAGGGCAAGTTTCTGCGGGTGTCGTTGTGTCCATCGTTTCTTCCACCTCCTCCGTTTCTGTGTCAACATGCGGTATGGACACACTTGGTGAACTAGGTACAGGTGTTCCCACTACAGGTGTCTCAGAGTCACTGTTAGTGGCAGTGTCAGCATTTTCTAGTGCGGCCCAAATCAGCCTCTGCTGCTCCTCCAGTTCCTCCAATGACAACTCATCCTCTGTTGCCGGTACAGTCTCATCCACTACTACCCAGCTACGCCTCCGCAGAGCTGGGGATCCGTTGGTTGGTGTGGGAGGAGGTGTACCTTTAGGGAGAGGTGGGGGAGTGGGTGTTGAAGGAGGAGTGCCTAGAGGTAAAGGAGGAGGAGAATCGTAACAAGGGGAGCCAGGGGGGAGTGGTGTTTGGAACTGGAAGTCACCTGGGCCTTGATAATAAGGAGTTCCTGGATCTGAGGGGAGACAGGGGAAGATTAGAAGAATAAGCTGATTCAAGTGTTAGGGGACATTGTTCTGAATTTTCGCTTTGAAATGAAAACACAAGACTTGCTTTTTACAACGTGGCAACATTGTTAAAAGCACAATATTGCTTGTGCAGTTTTTGACTTATACAAACTTTTAAACATAAAGCACTACAACCCAAAAAACTATGATCAACAGTTTCTAAAATACTCAAACCAGTAAGTCTGACAGCAACACCATGCCATCTTTAAAGTCAATATACCCCCTTTTTTTCCACTTTCTGAGGCTTGGTTTTACCTCCAGAAGATCTATTTCTGTCATGTGATTAGATATGTGCTTTAAAAGAGCCATGTAATCCTAATAAAGCCAGACAGACACATCTTCCATTTTAGTTCGATAACTTTGTGTTCATGTAATTTGTGAAGCCCATTTTTAGGTGAGAGAGATGAACATTTACCAGACTCAATATCCATGTCGGAGCTCCTGTCAGAGTTCTGATCAGGACTGGGCCTCGTCCTCTTCTTTTGGTGCGGAGATGACTCTGAGTCATGGTGCCTCTTGTTGCTGGTGGCTCCAGGCTGTTCGTAAGCAAGAAAGACAAGTGGAATTAAAATATTTAAGGACTCTTCTCAAATACCCAGTGGTCATCATCCTCTCTTTATCAGTGCCAGTTCATTCACAAAAAGTTAATACAGAGGCAGGCATGACTGACTGTTGTATAGAGCAGGTTGGTTTCTGTTGGAAGTAGGCAGGCACCTATTTTGTGTTATTTATCTTTGATGGTTCTTTTATAATTGTTTTTATTTATAATATTTCCTGTTGGTATTTATATACGATATCTTCTCATTTGCATTGAATGATTTGGAAGCAAACAGTGACATTGATTGATTTTATAAATAAACCCTGTGAGGATAGTGGAAAGCAAAGTGGTGTCACTTCATAGGATGTTGTTCGATATTAGCTTACCTTACGAAAATGTAATGCATCTACCTAAACTCTACCCTCAACATCAAGAACCAAGGTTGAGAGAAGCTGAAGTAATGGTTTAAAAAAAAAAAAAGGGACAAAAATCTGTCCATGTTTTGAGAGTAAGAAAAACAACAGTTTGAGGGACTTGAGGATATTTACCATAGGGAAGTTGCTGGACAGGTAAGCTGCATAGTTTTGCTTCATGTGGTTGGTCTGCATTGGAATTGAACCATACTGCATGAACTCCTGGAGGTAAAAAGACATTTAAAAAAGTGTTAGATTAGCACATTTTGACTTGATCAATAGAAAGAGCATTGTACACACGCATACATCTCAAAGTGACTTCATAAAGAATTCACGTAGATAATATATCAATTTAGTGAAAATGATAGTACGAATGATATGGATCAAATGTAGGTCCTTAAGTAGATACTGATGCTGAAAACACTATTCCATTATTTTCCTTTTTTCTGATTTAAGATAAAACTGGAGAGAATAACATAAACATCTATAGAATCAAGATATCAATATCATTTAGATACCGGAACTTGAATGTAACTAGTGATACATCAAAAAGAAAAAGTTATATGGTAGGACTTACATCTTTCATTGTGTGTGGTGCAGAAACATTGAAACCGGGGAAGTCCACCAGTTTGGAAACATCATAAGAGATGTTTTGGGAATTGTCTTTTGCGTTACCTTCATTTGAAACTAGAAAACAGAAGAAAATAGTCACAGATTCAGTCAAACCTTTCTACATCTCAATTAAATTATTATGTTTTGATATCTGAAAGAAAAATCTGTTTAAATGTAATTGTAAACATACCATTCCCATCATACATCGTCAAGCCAGAATCTTCCATCTCTGCCTCTTTGAGCCAGCCTGGGGGATATCCCATCTGCCTCATTCGATAAATGAGAGGAGGCAGGGTGTTTCCTTCAATTCCCAGAGCTGTCAACAGCTCCTCACTGTTCAAAAGCACAACAGTGGAAAACATTTAGGTTCAAGACTTACTTTAACATGAACAATATACCGAACGTGTACAAATAATGTTTGTAGAGCTGCAACGATAAATGTATCAGCAGAAAAATAACTATTTTGATAATCCATCAATCATTAAAGGATTTTTTTTATTGCAAAATGGCAGAACATGCGGTTTTCAGGATCTAACATATAGGTTTTTTTCTAAATCATTAATTGAATACTATTTGGTAGGAAGACATTATCTTAGATTTTAAGAATGGATGGTCACTTTAACTAGGTCCTGTCACTTAATAGACCAAATATTAACCTAGAAAGCAATATGCAGATTCACCAAAAAAGAATAAATAATACAAATAGAAATCACTGGTTGCAGCCCTAGTTGTGTCTATTGGGCATGAACTAAAAAGCCTACCTCATGACTCCAGGCTTGTATTTCGCAAAGCGTTCCTCCACTTCATCAGCGTGGTACCGCTGGTTGCTCTGCATGGACTGGTTGCTGTTCTGATTGAACTCCTTTCTTCGCTCATTAATTGCAGCCATGTCTTTGGGCTATGGAGGTTAACATGTATAAATAGAGTTAATCAAGTTCTGACTCATGTTTACATTCAAATCGTAATAATGCTAACTTGTTCTTACCTTGGGACAGTCTCTCAGCTGATGACCACTCGAACCACAGTTGAAACACATTGACTTGGGTCTACGATGAACAGATGAGTGATGGACTCATTATACAGGTATATGCCACACAAAAACAAAAGAAGAATCAAAGGATAGAAACTAAATACATTTTTATTACATACCTTTTTTCTTTCATTTCAATATCTGTGCCAACGACTTGGTTGAAAACCTGTTGATAGCTTTACAAAAATTCAGGAAATGTTATCGTGTTTGTTTAAAAGTAAAAGCTACAAGTTTCCTTTTTCGGAAAACTAAAGAGAATTGCCACTTTGATATTTATTCTACCAGTGGTAGAAATCAGGACATCTTCACTTCAAAGAGAATATTCTGATCCCTTGTTGAAGACAAGTGAACGAACTACACTGTTAATTTTTGTTTTTTTGCGTCAATTTATCATTCTTAAAGATACGTTGGAACATCCCATCCATCTGTCAGCTGGGGGTTTTCATTTAACAGAGGCTGTCCAAGTCTGTCAACACTAAAGGTAGTGAAATATAACACACTTCCCACCACCTAGAAAAGAAACATAGTGTATATGTTAACTTAGCAGGAAATCTACTTCAAACATCCAATTCTCTTTCCCATGTGGCAAGGGTTATACATTATGCAATATTCAAACTGCTGTAAATTATAGTAAATACTCACTTTAAAGGCTTCGGTTGTTTTTTTTGCAGCGCTGGAAGAAGACTTCTGCAGATCTTCATCCATAGCAAAGGCTGAGTTCTTCATATAGAACAGAACATGTTTTAACATAGGTTCATAACTCTATTGCTATTAATGACAATAAAACACATTCTTGTTTAATACCTGAGGTTTCATTTCAATGATGGATGTTCTCTTTTCATTGCTCGGGTTCTGGTGCTTCAAAATCAAATTGCAGATGCAATCTTCAATTTCTTGACGACATTGCCTAAAAAGGGAAGATGTGTATAGTTTAAGTTTTTTAACAATTTAGCGATGAGGTACACACACACAGCAAAGTAATAGAAATTCTGTACTTTCATCTTATAACCCGATGTGTGAAAACCAAACAAAAGAAACGTAAAACAAATGTGTTTTAGCAATAGTGTTAACATGGTTAAACAGAATTTTTGTACCATCACGCAAACTTGACAGCAGTGTTGAACAGTACCTAAGTAAATACATGCAAGCACTACACTAAAGTACAATTTTGAGTTACTTGAGTAATTACATTTGATGTAACTTTATAATTCTACTCAGAGGGAGAAATTCTTCTTATTTTATCAATTGAGTGACTAGTTATGGAAAATATGATCAACGATGAAGATATACGTTATTAATAAAACAATCAAACACTCTATTATAAAGCAATTGAAATTACCCAACTTTAATATTAAAATCATAAATGCATCAACACATAAAAAGACAGACATTGTTCTGAAATGTTATATTCTTTAAACATTGATGGACATACTAGGACAGACGTGATAAAACATACCATGCAAACCAGAAGTGAAACAATGAACACATTTGACTGCTTACTTTGAAATAATGTTGTTTGCATAAAGGACTTGAAGAGCTGGCCCGTCCATGTTGGCATCTTCAATATGCATGCCGCTGTCAAGAGAAAGAACAATTATTGTTATTATTATATATATGTTTATTGCACAAGGACCATGCATAAAAATGGATGAATCTCAAAAAGAGAAGAGATGCTATATGCTAGATTATAGTTTAAATCTCATTTCCATCTGCAGTCGCTGGGCAGTGACACACATAACAAACATAAAACATCTCATAATGCCTATCACACTTACAGATGTATACAATATAAATACTATTGGTCAATATAAATATAATTTTACAATTAATTTATAATTAAATCTGAAATTATATTCCAATCAATGTTCCATTTAATGTTGGCAAGACAAAGAATTGTGTGCACTATGGGAAACACCATGACATGATTGTTATGTTGAGTTTCGTTTCATTTGTTTGTTTGGCGCATTAACTATTCAGCTCACAATTACCTTGGTCGCGCCATGATGTTCAGTTTCCTTCTCAAACCTTTATGTGATCAATGAGTTAAGGAATTAGACAGACATTCTAAAAAAAAATAGCCATCAGCGTACATTTATGGGTTGTGCGTTTTCTGTTTTGGTTATTGACAGTAGGCTAGCGACGTTAGCCGACGTTAGCCGCCGTTAGCTTGTGCTACATCCACAGAGCTAACACACACACACTGGTACAAGGATATTCTCCTCGGTGAGTCTCTGGATGTGGTCATCACACTCCTCAAGCCGACTCGAGAGCTGGCTCGTATCCTCCTGTTCTTCCTCATCGTTATATGTGAAGCGAATATGCGTGGGGACGGTCGGCGGTGCAGAGTCATCGAGCTGCTCAAAGAGCTCACTGTCGCCGAAATCAACTTCAGCCATTTTTTACAACATTGTGGTGCAGGCAGGACGGATCCAGGTTCAGAGGTGAAAGCAGTTATTAATCGTTTTTCATTGGTTATCTTCATGTCACGTGATACGCAGACGACAAATGCTGTTGTTCTAAGCCCAGCAATGTCTATATCAGGCTACATCACTCCAACACAAGGATAATAAACTCTGGTTGCTTCTAAGGTCTCTTCACATTACAGATAATTAATGTGTAATTATATTTGAAAGTACAAGTCCACACTTCGTACTTTTCAGAACATTTCAGTGCATAGTGTTATAGAGCTCATGAATCGCCGCTGCTTTCGCCTTTAAGACAAAGTTAAGGGCGTGAAATAGCCCTTTAATTCCTGTTCCGGCAGTCATCTCGGTTTGTTGCTGTTGCCTGTTAACGCCGCTTGAATGTCGTTACTTCACTATAGTGTGCAGTATAATGGTGAAACAATCAGTCTTTCTACGGGACAAGAGACATTTGTGAGTGATTGAGAAGCTTCCCTTGCTTCCAGCAATGTCGAGCCCCTCTACTACCCACTTAGCTTTACCGCATTGGGACGGGGGCTCTCGAAAAATTCGCTTTATTCAGCTGGTGAATCTGACATCGTTCAGACTGACAGACTGCTCCAACAAGGTGAGTGTTACTGTAGTGCAGGCTTCTGTCTGTCAGTGGTGTAAGTAACTAAGTAGATTTACTCAAGTACTGTACTTAAGTACATTTTTTAGGAGTTTTTTCTTTACTCTAGTATTTCAATTTTGGCTACGTTGAGGTAAATTGTGTACTTTTACTCCACTACATTTATATAATACCTTTAGTCAATAAATGTTTTATTAATGGTTTGAATTATATTCAACACTTAAATAAGACTTACACCTCGAGTAAAACAAGCTACCCTGCAACATACAAAGTAATTAAAATTAGCTGCACCTTTTCCAGCTTTGATAACAGATGAATGCATCAATATTGATAATCAAAATATGCAATATATAGTATTCTGAAATAGCTCCATTTGCATAATGAGGACTTTTATTTTTGGTACTTGAAGTTTATTTTGATGCTAATAGTTTTGTAATTTTAAATGAGTAATGTTTGCAATGCAGGACTTTTACTTGTCACAGAGTATGTTTACACTGTGGTATTTCTACTTTTACTACAGTCAAAAAGTTACATCTTCCACCCCCGGTTTTTGTAAAGCAACTTGAAAGTTGTCTGTAATCTTGTCTGTTTTTGAAATGCATTTTATTAGTAGTATTACTTCTCAATTGATGTTAATATCACACCAAACGACATCATTTGTATCATCTCTGTATCTGTTTCAGAGTCCAGTGGTTCCTCTCTTTTTAGGCGCTGATCTGTTTTCCAACACAGACATTCGCACAGAGAACCATCCCAGATACCATGCCAAGTTTGCCAAGAAAGGCTTTGCAACGAAAATACATTTTTCCTCAGGTAAACAAAGGAGAAATTAGCAGCACAAATGTGTTGCAATGACTTCCTCTACACCAATCTGTTGTCTTCCTGTTGCAGCGTTCAGGTTCCATGGGCTGAAGGTATCTACTGCAAACAACAGCCTCTGGTTCTACAGCGTTCAGGGACTTTTCCGAGTAGCGTTCGAGATGTACAGTAAGCAGGAGCAGCTTGATGTGCTTGAGAACTTCCAGGTGCAGTACAGTAAGCATTTTGAATGTCTTTACATAATATATTTGCTTTTTTCAATGTATCTTTTTATTTCTTACTGTTTAACATTGCAGGATGTTTGGAAATCCCAGATAAATGACAGCCCTCTGAAAGCGAGTTACAGCCTCAGTGTGCAGCTGGACAATGCTCCGCCCAGCAGCCTGCAGGATACAGAATCCAGGAGGGAAATGTCACAACCTCAGCATCGCCAGGTTGGTAGGGAATCGATGGATGTATATAGCAGTGAAACAGTCGATGCATCGGCAGATCACGCCTACTGTTCTTTTCCTAAACAGACATTGCAAACAGAGCACAGCCAACTTGTTGTTTCGACAGTGAGAGAGAAATTACAGAGCTTGGATGACAAACTCTCCTCTGAGACTCACAGCTACACAGAGCAGCTGGAGACTATCTTGCTGCTTTTGGAGAACATTGAGCGGTACATGAATGGGAATCTAGAAGAAAAGGATGTAACAGACACGGTCATAGCCCTACTAAAGGCCAAAGACTGGGGCAGTGTGTATTCAAGTTCCCTGCTCTGTGGTGTAGGACGGTGGCTAGGCCAGCAGTTTCACGCAGCCAACGGCAGCATCAGCCAGAGAGTGGAGGACTTTAAAGTTCAGCACATTGAGCGGATTAGTGACTTGCCACCTGCTGAGGAACTAGTGACAGAGCTTTTCCCAGAAGCCATGCAGACTCTGCTGCTACATTGGATGGGTTTAAGTGAGGAGTCCACTGTGGAGAAGAGACACAGCGAGTTCCCCATCCTGCTCCTCATCCTCGAGTTCGCCAACCACAACCTCATCACCGGTGTTGCTCATGTGCTGTACTCCAGTCTTATATGTAAATAGGAGATTTTCATTTAGGCGTAAACACCAAGAATTTAACTGGACCTTTTTTACCAGTATTTTAATGAATATCTATTTTTGTATATACAACTGTCCTTTATTTGCTTTGGCAAAAACTAGACTGTACAAACGGGCCTTCTATCAGGTTTCGTAACAACTAGGGCTGCAGGAAAACTCTATTGTGTCGACTTTCAGGGGAGTCCTTTTGCTAGGGTCTAATCATTTGTTTATCTTAAATTATGATTGCACACAAATTGTGTTTTACAAAACATGTAACATTTTGTGAAGATAATGCATGGTTCTAAAACATAATTAATATGAATAAAACACAATTCATTGAACTTAACAATAGCTTTTCTACATATGATTTTGCCTGTTTCATTGTTTACAAATTGGTTTGGAAAGATATTATCAGTGTTGAAATGAATAAAAATAACCACATTCAACACAAAACTAATTTATTTCAAGAGCATATGAAATGTGATTTCTGCTGTCAAGCCCATCTTTATCCATGGCAATACCGAGTACAATATGTAATAAAATCCAATACTGTGTTTTTCACTATCAGGAAAATTAAATCGGAGAGATTTTGATAATGCCACACTGACTTCAGACGCCTTTTTGCTAAATGGGGGTAAACTGTTAACTTGAGCCATATCATATTCTGTTTATGTTCAAACAATCACAAATATGAGTTAAAAAAAACTACGACATTTTCAAACAAATAACATATCTAATCTTAACCAGTATCAACCAGTCAAGCTGATGCATCCTTTTGCAAAGATTACAATACAGATTAATACACAGTGAGACATACTCAGCATCTGCCTATTTACATTATAATGTTCCAATATGTGAGATGTTTGTCTATAAATAAATTACAGATTCATAGCGACATCCATGCAAGCTTGAGGGCTAGCGATGAATTGGTGGTCCTGTGTGATCAGATGCGGGGCAAATGTCTGGCACTAGATGGAGTCCATCCCACGGGAGAATGAGGAGCCGAAGCCGAGGCCCATCCCCCTCTGAGTGTGCGTCTGAGAGCGAGCCATCTCGTACTGAACGTCCAGGTTCCTGAACATCTCCTCCTGCTTCTGAAGAGTCTTCAAGCCTTCTTCGTTGAGCGGTTGGGCGACTTCGGGTTCCACTTCATCCTCTCCCTGTAAACGCACCAAATGGATTTTAGCACGGAAAAGAAAACATTCAGAAAGCACCAAGTGGCGTATTGAACATTTTACGGCAACTTTTTTTATATTGCTGTGTTCATATGTCTTTTCTGAAATGTCAATCTCTATAAAATGCAGTGACCAGATATCTGATCTTAAGTATGCATCCATGAGTAAGCTACGAAAAGCATTCACAGGGCTAAAAAACGTATAAAATCCAGACGAAATGCAAGCAGGCAATCACTGTAACCCTCATTGAGCCGGAGATAGGGGGGCAACTTTGAATGCTGTTAACAACTTATTTTGTCTTCGAGTAAAATGACAATTACTTACTTTTATTCCCATTAGTTTGCGGAATTTAACGTTTTGGTTCTTGTTTCCAAAGTTGAGCTTTTCCCACAACTCAGCTGTCTGGGATTTGTCCTTAAAAGAAAACAGAAATGATAAGACTCAGGTAATGTTATTCAAATATGGAATTGGTGGATAAATAACAAGTAACAGCAAAATCCTATCTTACCCCCTCCTTCTTTCCCTGCCATAGCATCTTCCTCTTTTTCTCCTGCTCTGCAAACTTCATGGGGTTTACAGCGGATGGGTTATAGAAGCTGGGCACCGCGATGCCCGTCTCTGCCAGTGTTTTCGCTTGAAGGGCTGCCATCTGTGCCGCCATGGCTATCTGTGGCGTGACCTGGGTCCCAGAGGCTAGCAGGGCGGCCACATTGAGCGCAGGGTTCGATGTGACCGCTGCAGCAGCAGCTGTCGCCGTGATAGGGGCGGTCACTGGAAATAGAACAGACAGCATGAGTAAGTTACTAAATCTTGACTCAAATGATTTGAAAACTTGGCACATTAAGCTCTTCTTACCTGCAGTTATCTCCTGCTGTTGCTGCTCCAGCATATCCTTCTCCTTCTGCTCCTGCAGTTTCTTTGCTCTCTCCAGCCTGGAAGGAAAACAAGAGAGATCACGACGTTACTTTTTTCATCTAAAAGCCTATTCCGTCACCTTCTGTGTATCTAGAAGTGATCATAGATTTTGTACGCAAAAATAATCATTGCAACATGTTGGAGACATAAGCCAGATTTTACACTTGCATTTTTGTAGCATTATTGCATTCATTAAAAGGTAGGGTAGGTAAGAACGGAGAAACCAGCTCGAGTGCGCTAGAATTTGAAAGTGCACAACCGAAAACAATCTGCCTCGTCCTTCAGACTTCCTTACAGAGCCCCTCCTCCAACACACACGAACATGACCAATGAGGGCACGAGATAAGTTTGTGCACAGATGGAAGGCTGACAGGCAGGTAGGCCATCCAGTTACTTTAGCCGGGCCGGCTCAAATGATTGGTTGTGCTTTTTACAGCGCCACGGCTTCCACAGATGAAATATTTTAATGTATTTATTGTCAAAGCACTTAATATATTCATTGCTATCGGGATGTTGAGAGCATTCCATGGAATATAACAAAAAGTGTTTCTGAAGTGAATTACCTACCCTACCTTTAAACAGGGGACAGTAGAGATTTGAAAGGAAGGCAGATAAAGAAGGTGCAACATGCAACAAAGGTCCCCGGCCAGACTAAATGTGGATATTTAAAATCACATGTTCACCAAGACAACCAGTGTACCCCATCTATCTGAATGCAAAGTGTCCTTGATTTCTTACCAATATGCTCTCTGGCAAGTGCAACACGGTGGAGAAGTCAGATTAAACTAAACCCAGTGATCAACAACTTTAAAATCTGAATAACTTCAGGAGTGAGCCAGCTGGCTGATGGAGGGATTTAGATGTCTGTATGGTCTAAAGCTTCATACTCTGTCATTTCACTGCTACCCATTTCATCTTCATAACATGTCAGGCATTAGTAGAGCAGTAGAGGTTGACAAGGTTAGGGTAATAACTGAAAAAGAGCGCTTTGTAGCCGCTTTTACACAGATGCAGAAAGCACCCCTAGCATTGCTTGGATTTGGCGAGAACAGGACGCCCGACCATCTACATTGTAAAAGCCCTGGAAGCTGTTGTCTTGCCTTCTGGCCAGGGCCTCTTGTGCATCCATAGCTGGGTTTCGGCCCCGGAAGGCAGGTGGATTAACAGACCTGCTTCGACTCTTTCTTAGCACTTTCTCACTCCTTTTCTTTCGCTCCCTGGGGGAACAACAACAGAAAAAGAAACTTAGCAAGTAGAACAAAAGATCAAAAACACTTGATCTAAACAGTAGGATCACTCTCACCTGCTTTTACTGCGACTTCTGCTGTGATGGCGGTGTTTGGTCCTTGAACCCGAGCGAGACTTCGCCTTCTTCTTCTTCCTGTCGCGGCTACGTGATCGTGATCGCCGTTTGTCCTTACTTTTACTGTGAGGCCGCCTGAAAGTAACAAAATCCATCAACGTGAATCAAAGAAATGACTGTCGTGAAGCATCGTTTTACCATTCATCCTAGATTCCCTTTAAGGATATCCAATCTACTGGATATGGAAAAGTGCCACCTATTCATTAGGACCAGAGCTTCTACAATAAAAATGATCATACATTTGTTTATCTGTTGCAGGGTATATGCAGGAATCCTGAAGTCAAATGTAATACCTTTTTTAAGACCCTTTTCATACATTTTAAGACCTCATCATTAATCCAGAAAACATACCAGACCCTAAATAACAATGAATGTAGGTAGACCTGCTGAACATATTGATCAGACTCACCTCTCTCGTGAGTGTGACCTGGAGGCGCTGCTGCGGCCCTTGGAGGGTTTCCTGTCTTTGCGTCTGGATCGCTCGTCTCCATCCTCTGCTGAAAGTCTCTCTGCCTCTTGCTGCTCGTCTGTTTTTCTGTGCGATTTTGATGGTTTCTCCGAGTCCCTCTTTCGAGCCTGTTTTAAGAAGAAGTTGTCTCTTTCAGGAAAATAGTGCAACAAAAAGAGTTAGTACCATGGCTTAAGGCAGACGGTATGTAATCAATTTGGTTTGTAAAAACAAAAGTCCTTCTCATTTCAAATCTACTTTCATAACATACACAGAATGTATGTTGTGAACAGGAATGCAAGAATGTAATTTATTTCTAATATAGACTCATTTGACTACACTACATTCAGTGACTCGAAATATATCAGCGCTTATATACATGCCAAATGATTGCGCTGTATACTTTCTGAATTAAAGTGTCAGCTAATTAAATGTAATAATGTACTGTAATCAATCAAAATAAAAACACATTTGGAAGCTCTCAGACGATGTCATCCATTGCATGCAAACACTAGGATCTAATTCTTATAAAACATATATTTGAGTCGTCAGTTCTGTAAAAAACCCAATTCAATGTCTCCAGAATGCTTTGGACTTGAAACCACTGAAAGGTGAAAGTAGGGATGGGCATCGACTTACTTCTTACAGCTTCTTTACTTACTCCATCCAAATCAAACAACACTGGTGGTATAATTAACATATAAAAGCACAGATTACCCTTTTGAAATTAAATGAATGATGCATTTCTACACGATTTAATATCCTATGACCGTCGTATGTGTGATTCTTATAACAACATATTTATGTGACGGTAACACTGTTTGGAACGAGTCTTCATTAGTATGATGTGGCAAATCACTTTAGAGGGCTCAAACGTTTTTACTCTTTATACAAACAAATTAGTCGTACAATTCCAGATTTAATGAAAAGAGAACATTTGGATTAAATGAGATTAATTTAATGAATTATGCCCATCCCTAGCTGAAAAAGATTATTCTTCTAATAGTGTGAGATAAATAGGAGTTTGAATGGCAGATAGTTACCTGTCCCAGTAGTAGACATATTATTTTGCTATGTCAGCAGGGTCTTCTGTTCAGTCTCTTCGTGCATTAGCACGCTGAGTATGATTTGTTATAGAAATGTTATCATGTGATCTACACACAGGATTTAACAAAAAAAGCTACTCTTTACCTTTTATTATGGACACAAACAATGACAGATATCGAAGGATGAAAGCTTCCTTTGACACATGTCAACCATTCCACCAGCGAGCCCAATGTCATCTATTTCTTTTGTTCTTAACTTTAGGTATTGTAACAAATGTAACCTTATAAAACATACTTACCTTTACCTAAAACTAACAAGAAAAACTACTTAAGGACTTCAAAATCACATCAAATGTGTTTTTAGTCATAGAAAGAAATGTATTAATTACCTCTTTACTCCTGGT